CGATTAAAAAAATGTCTAACTTACTTGGAAGAAAAGGTTTTTGGAAATTTGATGAGAATAAATATTTTTCCAGAAAAAGGACGCTATTGAAGAGATTGAAGAAAACGCTCTCCTAATGTAGCGAGTAAAAAATGAACAAATATTCGTTCGTTTGGGTTACGAATTATATAATTTTAATTGAAATTAGCCTTATCTCTCTCAAATTACACTTAATATACACTTAATTAACACTTGGATTTGGATAAAAAGGGGAAAACTAATTAAGAAAAACCGTTAATCTCAAGCTTAGGTGCTTATAATCTGACGTTGCCTGTCAATCGCAAGCTCGACAAAAGTGCCAACTTTGAAATAAAAAGAACAATCGGGATTGGCCACTGGCTGTCAAACGAGCTGTCATTAATTTGGTATTCCTGTTTGATTAGTATCTAACTTCATGGCATCAGTATCAAAACATTATTTCTAACCTATAAATGAATTTCAACAACAATTAAGTTTTTGTAAAGTAATTAATCAAAGTGATAATTAAAGTGGATATTAAAATACAATTATAATTTGAATTTAAATAAATGAAGCCTTATTCAACATTCCTGTCATTATTCATCATTTATATTCAGAAACACAAAATGAAGCTTCAATGAAAATCTCTTGTCATCAACTTTTAATTCTAATCTGGAATATCTTTTTCAGAAACGAAAAGAAATTTGTATGGAGAAAATAATCTGTATTTATGACTGCGTGAGGATAAAGGATAAAAAAAAAGGGGTTAAAAACCTCGGTAGAGTGTGTAAACCACGCCTGACAATGAACCGAGTTGCACTACTTGTTGATGAACTTCATTCTGGAATCTGGGTGTTACAATATACAGGGTGATTTTTATGTTCCGGACCCCCAAAATATCTTGAAAGGAAATAGTTTTTGAGAAAAATGTTGTATACAAAAGTTGTCAGGTTGAAAAAAATCTATTAAATTGTATAATTAAAAAACGGGCCCAGGGCCTTATGTGGGCCCTACAGACAAAAAAGTAAATTTTTTAAATGGAACCAAATATTTTCAAACTCAGATTCTTTTAGCCAGTGATTTCCTCTTTTCAGACATGTGGCAACTTGTGGGCCCAAAGTTAAATTTGGGCCCAAAATTCGATTTTTTGTAGATTTAAAGGTAATTTTAGTGTAACTTAGTTCCAAGGGGTTTTCAGGGTCCCTGATTACGAATATGAAGTTAGTTTTTAAAAATTTTCAATAACGGACCCAAAATGACTAATTAAAATTGAAAAAAATTAAGGAAAATTATGAAACTTCTTATTTTAGACTTACTTAGTCTGCTAATTGTTAATTCAATGTTACTTTTATTGCTCTTAATTTAGTATCATAAAACTTGAGATAAAATAATTATTAGATTTTTTCAAATTTTAATATTTAGGGGCTTATAAGGCCCAAAATTAGATTTTCTTTGGTTTTAAAAGTGATTTTAGTGTGACTTAGTTTCGAAGGGCTTTTCGTGGTCCCTGATTACGAATCTGAAATCAGTTTTTAAAAATTTTCAATAGCGGACCCAAAATGACTAATTAAAAATGAAAAAAATTAAAGGAAATTATGAAACTTCTTATTTTAGACTTATTTAGCCTTCTAATTGTTAATTAAATGTTACTGTTATTGCTTTTAAATTAGTATCATAAACCTTGGGGTAAAAAATTAGATTTTTACAAATTTTAAATTTAGGGGCTTATAAGGCCCAAAATTCGATTTTTTGTGATTTTAAAGGTGATTTTAGTGTGACTTAGTTCTAAGGGTTTATTGGGGTCCCTGATTAGGAATCTGAAATCAGTTTTTAAAAAATTTTAATAACGGACCCAGAATGACTGATTAAATATGAAAAAAATGATGGAAAATTATGAAATTTATTATTTTAGACCTATTTAGCATTTTACTTGTTAACTTAATGTTACTTTTATTGCTTTTAATTTAGTATCATAAACCTTGGGGTAAAAAATTAGATTTCTACCAATTTTAATATTTAGGGGCTTATAAGGCCCAAAATTAGATTTTCTTTGGTTTAAAAAATAATTTTAGTGTGACTTAGTTTCGAAGGGTTTTCGGGGTCCCAAATTATGAATCTGACATCGATTTTTAAAAATTCAAAACAGCGGACCAAAAATGACATAAAAATTAATAAAATTAAGGAAAATTATAAAACTTTTTATTTTAGACTTATTTAGTTTTCTAATTGTTAATTCAATGTTACTTTTATAGTTTTTAATTTAGTATCATAAACCTTAAGGGAAAGAAAATTGATAGATTTTTACTAATATTAATGTTTAGGGGCTTATAAGGCTGAAAATTCTGTTTTTAGTTCTTTTAAAACTCATTTTTAAACAACAAAATTCGATATTTTGTGGTTTTCAAGGTGATTTTAGTGTGACTTAGTGCCAAGGAGTTTTCGGGGTCGCTGATTACGAATCTGTAATCAGTTTTAAAAAATTTTTAATAACGGACAAAAAATGAATGATTAAAAATGAAAAAAATTAAGGGAAATTATAAAACTTCATATTTTAGACTTATTTACCCTTCTAATTGTTAATTCAATGTTACATTTATTGCTTTTTATTTAGTATTATAAACCTTGGGGTAAAAAATTAGATTTTTACAAATTTTAAATTTAGGGGCTTATAAGGCCCAAAAAACGATTTTTTTGGATTTAAAGGGGATTTTTAGTGTGAATTAGTTCTAAGGGGTTTTTGTGTTCCCTGATTAAGTTTTAAATTCATTTTAGTGTAACTTAGTTCCGATGGGTTTTCGGGCTTCTTGATTACGAATCTAAAATCAGTTTTTAAAAATTCAAAATATCAGACCCAAAATGACTGATTAAAAATAAAAAAAATTAAGGATAATTATGAAATTTATTATTTTAGACCTATTTAGCATTTTACTTGTTAACTTAATGTTAATTTTACACAGCTCTAAATTTACTATCCTTTGGGGGCAAAAAGGAAGATTGGTTTATTTTTCAAATTTAAATTTTGGGGGCTTATGGGTTCCAAAAGTGGATCTTCTGTGGTTTTAAGAGTTATTTTAGTTTCAGGGAACTTTCTAATCTAATTTTTGGCCTTATAAGCACCTAAATTTAAAATTTGTAAAAATCTAATTTTTACCACAAGGTTTATGATACTAAATTAAAAGCAATAAAAGTAACATTGAATTAACAATTAGAAGGCTAAATAAGTTGAAAATAAGAAGTTTCATAATTTCCCTTAATTTTTTTAAATTTTTAATCAGTATTTTTGGGTCCGCTTTTTTGAATTTTAAAAAACTGATTTTAGATTCGTAATCATGGACCACGAAAACCCCTTGAAACTAAGTCACACTAAAATTATTTTTAAAATCAAAGAAAATCTAATTTTGGGCCTTATAAGCCCCTAAATATTAAAATTGGTAAAAATCTAATTTTTTACCCCAAGGTTTATGATACTAAATTAAAAGCAATAAAAGTAACATTAAGTTAACAAGTAAAATGCTAAATAGGTCTAAAATAATAAATTTCATAATTTTCCTTCATTTTTTTCATATTTAATCAGTCATTCTGGGTCCGTTATTAAAAATTTTTAAAAACTGATTTCAGATTCGTAATGAGGGACACCGAAAACTCCTTAGAACTAAGTCACACTAAAATCACCTTTAAAATCACAAAAAATCTAATTTTGGGCCTTATAAGCCCCTAAATATTAAAATTTGAAAAAATCTATTAATTATTTTACCTCAAGTTTTATGATACTAAATTAAGAGCAATAAAAGTAACATTGAATTAACAATTAGCAGACTAAGTAAGTCTAAAATAAGAAGTTTCATAATTTTCCTTAATTTTTTTCAATTTTAATTAGTCATTTTGGGTCCGTTATTGAAATTTTTTAAAAACTAACTTCATATTCGTAATCAGGGACCCTGAAAACCCCTTGGAACTAAGTTACACTAAAATTACCTTTAAATCTACAAAAAATCGAATTTTGGGCCCAAATTTAACTTTGGGCCCACAAGTTACCACATGTCTGAAAAGAGGAAATCACTGGCTAAAAGAATCTGAGTTTGAAAATACTTGGTTCCATTTAAAAAATTTACTTTTTTGTCTGTAGGGCCCACATAAGGCCCTGGGCCCGTTTTTTAATTATACAATTTAATAGATTTTTTTCAACCTGACAACTTTTGTATACAACATTTTTCTCAAAAACTATTTCCTTTCAAGATATTTTGGGGGTCCGGAACATAAAAATCACCCTGTATATATATAATCTCTCACATCTCCTCTCTCTGTGCAGTAACCCAGGAAAAATTTAGCTGGAATGATAAAATGTCCGATAAAATTGCGTGCCTCTTTGATCGGGAAGTGATAATTGCGCTCAACTAATGAAATTAGGGATTTAAAAAACCCTTTTCTGGCCTTTGAACTTGTCTGCCTTTGAAAACGCACTTGACTCAAAAGCAAAAAGCACTCACGTGTGAGGGATAGCTTGACCTTCTCATCACAAACATCGAGAATCGACAAATGTCAATGTCATTTAATTTCCTTTCTCTTTTTTTCTATATTACTACCTGTTTTTGTCACGTGCATTCATCGAAGAGTGCTATCAAGTTGCTCATTTTTCGGCTCTATATTGAAAGAGTGGACCCTCTCTTTAAATATTGAATTACTGACATGATATACATTTCAATAACAAACATCTGCTTTTAGAAAAAATAGCAATTTTTTTAAAAATATTTTTATATTAGATATTAGTTTTTACAAAATTTATTTTGAATATTAAAATATTTGACATTTTAGAAAAAGTTTTGAAATTTTTTTAATATATTTTACTTGTTAAGATTGAAAAGTTTTGAGAAAAAAAAGGAATATTGAAATTATATGAAAAGCTCTTGGAAGATATTGGAAAATCTTTTGTGATAATGTATATAGAAATAAATCTGAGATATCTAAATGTATACATACCTTAAAAATCTTTTCTTTTGTTGTAGGATTATGTGAATCGTTACCATGGCCAAAAGATGGGAGCTCTTGAGCCTCACGTGTTTGCTCTTGCCGAAGCAGCCTATCGGTCTCTTCAAGACACTGATAGTAATCAATCATGTGTAATATCAGGCGAGAGTGGAGCTGGGAAAACTGAAACCACAAAATTTATCCTCCAATATCTTTGCTCCGTCACCAGTAATGTTGACACTTGGGTAGAACAGCAAATCCTGGAAGCAAACACCATTTTAGAAGCATTCGGTAATTGAAATATTAATAACTAATTAAGTTTTCGAAAAATTACAAAATATTTCAGCTAAAAAAAGATTTTTTTTGTTTACTATAATTAGTAATGAATAAAATAAAAAATTTGAAATTTTTTTTTTGCAGGTAACGCAAAGACGGTTCGAAATGACAACAGTTCACGATTTGGTAAATTCATGCAAGTCTGCTTTGACAATAAATGGATGATAAAGGGCTGTATAATTCAAGATTATCTTCTCGAACAAAGTCGTATAACATTTCAAAGTACAGACGAAAGAAATTATCATGTTTTTTATCAACTCGTTGAAGCTGGTACACGTGACAAGGAATTTGCCGAACAATATAAATTAAAACCAGCAAATAATTATAAATATTTAAACGATTCAGGATGTACAAAAATTGATGGTATTTCTGATTTAAAAAAATTCGACGCCCTTCGATTGGCATTCAGTGTTCTTCAAGTGCCAGCCGAAATGTGTGATGGTATTTTTCGTGTTCTCTCGGCAATACTTTGGTTGGGAAATCTTAAATTTGAAGATGTTGACGGTGAAAGATGTGAATTATCAAAAGAGGATAATGAAATTATTGCAAATATTGCTCCACTTTTGGGACTTAATGTTGAAGATCTCACGAGAATTGTTCTTGAGAGGCAAATTAATGTTCGTGGGAATATTACTGAAATTCCACTCAAGGTACAAGAGGCAAAGGAAAATAGACACGCAATGGCAAAGGCATTGTACTCAAGAACATTTGCATGGCTTATTAATCACATTAATAATTGTACAAATCCAGGTCAGGATATTTCGAGGTTTCTTGGAGTTTTGGATATATTTGGTTTTGAAAATTTTCACGTTAATAGCTTTGAGCAATTGTGCATTAATTACACGAATGAGAAACTTCATAAGTTCTTCAATCATTATGTATTTGCCCTCGAGCAGGAACTGGTGAGTATATCGAAAATTATTATTCAATTTTCATTTCAGGCTATAAAAATAAAGAATATGAACTGAATTTCTAATTTCTTTTTCAGTATCGTCAAGAGGAGATTCAATATTCTCACATAACATTCACGGATAATACACTCTGTTTGGAGTTGATTGAAAAGCCACCTCGTTGTGTTTTGAAACTTCTCACGGAACAATGCCACATGCCAAAAGGATCGGATCTTGCGTACTTGACAAATCTTCATGCGGAATTTGAGAATCATCCGTGTTACGTGAAAGGCGATGATCGTCGTAAATGGGAGACTGAATTTGGATTGAAACATTATGCGGGATCGGTAACCTACACAGTGGAGGGTTTTGTCGACAAGAATCGTGACGTTCAACAGGATGTATTTTTTGATTTTATGTCACGAAGTACAAATGAATTTGTTCAACGAATCACTGCTTATCAGGATTTACTTGGTTGTACTGTGGCGCGTGCATCGGGGAATGCAACGACAATGTCGCGTGGTACATCGAAAGGTAAACCAACACTTTGTGATTCATTTCGTCATCAATTGCAGGCACTCGTTGATGTTCTTCAAGCGACAACGCCATGGTATGCGCGATGCATTAAGCCAAATATGACAAAAATTGCCAATAATTATGATGAGAAATTAGTGCTCGATCAATTGAAATATCTTGGAATGTTGGATATTATTCGAATACGAAAGGAAGGTTATCCGGTTCATATGGAATTTCGTGATTTTATCACAAGGTACACGTGTCTTGAGAGAGGAAGATTGTCATTGCCACGTGACGAGAGAGAAGCTGTGCGTTGCTTGATGAGAAATAAAAAAATTCCCGCCACCGAGTGGCAAATTGGCGTTAATAAAGTATTTCTCCGACGATTTGTTCACGAGCCCCTTGAGGACGCGAGAAATCAAATTATCACGAGCAATGCAATTATCATTCAAAAGATCTGGCGTGGTTTTATTGTCAAACGCGGTAAGTAACTAAATTAAAATGTCAATTAATTAAATTCGAATTTTAATTTTTTTTATTTAAAATTAGAAAAATAGATTATTTCTTCTCACGAATCGTTAAACTGTTTTAATTCGTAGAATACGAGAGAGTGAAAGAAGCAGCTTTAAAGATTCAACACGCGTATCGTGGCTGGAAGTTGAGGATAATGTTCATCAGAAAACGTCGAGCGGCGATTGTAATACAGTCCCATCTTCGTGGAGTTTTTGCAAGGGAAGTGGCAGCAGCTTTGAGAGAAATGAGACGTGTCGATGAGGAGATGAGAAAACGCGAACGCCTGGAAGAAGAGAGAAGATTAATGGAAGAAAAGAAAGCAGCCGAAGAGAATCAGAGGTAAAAATAAATCATACTTCCGCTCGCTTAATAAATTAATAAAAATTGTTTATATTTTTATACCTTCCTATTTCTTACAGTGCACAGTACAATGGCATTGTGGGAATGGAAGAAGGGTAAATCTCAAAATATTAATATGAAATTTATTTTACAATTGTTATTTTCTTTCTAATTTTTTTTAATTTCTTATAGAAAAGCCGAGGAAGAGATTGCGGCACTTTCACAAATGGCGGAGCAATTAAATTCAAAAATGGCAACATCCGAATTACAATCAGTCGATTTGGACAATCTTTTTTCATTTCTCTCGGATGTGCAATCGTCAAAGAGCAATCAAATAATTGAGGAGATTGGCGAGAAAATGGATGAGCTTGTTGAGAATTTGGACGAGGAATTGGAGACTGTGATCCAGCAGGAAATGGAAAAGAACGCAAAAGCTGAATTAAAAGCACAAGCCACGGAAATTCAAGACAATCAACGAATCATTGGGAATAATAATAAACTTGGTCCACCGACACTGCCGGAACCAACGGGTCCACCACCGCCACCACCACCACCTCCTATTATAACAAATGGAAAATCCTCCTCAGACAATGGTGAACCAATTTATGAGTCTGTATTGCCTCGAGAGGAAAATGGACCAACGAGTCCAGTGCAAATTAACGGTAATGGTCCTCTAATGAATGGTGATATTCATCCATCGATAACGAAAATAAAGGAACCACAAGCCGGAAGTCCACCGCCGTTGGTCGAAGCAAGAAGTACAAGTCTTCATCATAATCCACAGCAAATTAATGGTCACGATCAGCAACAACAGATGCAGCAGCAACAACAACAACAACAACCGCAGCAATTGCAACAACCGGCAGAACGTGAGCAAAGACGAAAATTCCGTGTTGAACGAAAACTTCAGGAACTTGAGGATAAAAAAGAGGTTCCCGAGGGTGAAAATTATCATGATATTATGGAATTTGCGCAAAATTATTTTAATAGTCATGAACGATCACCAGAGGGAACGATTATGGCTACATTGACGAGAAAATCCCGTGGCAAGAGTATGGAATATGTTCCGAAATATGAAATGGTCACTTATTATAAGGGATCAACTATTCCAAATTCACATATTCATATGTACGATCCTGATAATGTTAATGTTGCCTGCTCCGTATTCAGGGTAAGAAAAAATTTTCTCTAAATTTTTATCTTGTCAATTTAAAAAAAAAAAATTCCAAATAAACTAAAATTGTTTTTCTTTTTTTTCGCAGGACCTCTGTAAATATCTTCGCGGTGAAATGAAATTAGAACAAGAAATAGCAACAATACAAAGTGTAATTGGTTATGGAATCGAACGTGAGGAATTACGTGATGAAATACTCGTGCAATGTATACGTCAAGCGACAAATAATCCAAATCAAGAATGGGCCGAACGTGTATGGCTTCTTCTTTGTTTGGCAATTGTTGCATTTCAACCAAGTAAATTACTTTATAAATATTTTTGTTCATTTTTACGAAAAAATCTTGCCCTCGAGGGAAAATTACGTCAATATGTGCAATGGTGTGTGGATAATTGTAAAAATACAAAAGTCTCATGTCGACAATATCCACCATCAACAGTTGAAATTGCTGCAATGCGACGTCTCGGTACAATTGTTTGTCGTTTCTTTTTTTTGGATGGTCGTACAAAAGCAATTGATGTACATCCAACTGATACAGCAGCTGATGCTGTTGCAAAACTTGCCGAAAAATTGGGACTACGCTCATTGGAAGGTTGGGCAATTTATCAAAGTCGTCCCGATGGTGAAGAACATGTGCGTGCACATGATTATCTATATGATGTGATTGCTGCTTGGGAAATGAAACAATGTAAATTAAATACAGCACAATCGGCATTTCCAACATTGAGAAGGGGTAATAATCCAACATTAGGAAGTGGTGATAATAGATTTGTTTTTAAACGGCGATTGTTTAGAAATACACGTGAATTGTCACAGGATCCAGTTGAGGTGAATATGTTGTATTCGCAGGCTGTTTACAATGTTGTGAAATTGGATGATTTTCCCGTTTCGGAGAAAGTTGCACTTCAATTGGCGGGATTACAGGCACAGGTAATGCTTGGCGATCCAAAGGATAATGATCGTTTGGATTATTATAGTGAAGTTGATAGTTTTTTGCCTTATCGAATAAGTAGAGCGAGAGGCGATGATGTTTGGGTTCCGATTATTGCTCAAGCTCATAGACAATATGGTGCTAATCGTTCGGAATTGACGGCAAAAGTTTTGTATCTCTCGTGTGTTATGCAGTATCCATTGTATGGAACGACGATGTTTAATGTCACCTATCGTGGTTATTGGTCGTATGGCAATCAATTGATATTGGGAATAAATTGCGATGGATTGATGTTGATTAAACCTGATGATAAATTTGTTTTATCCGAATATCGCTATCACGATGTTGAAAGTATAATGCTCGATCCCAGTGATTCTTTTATAACAATTTCATTGTTACGACACAATCCTGATAGTTCGCATAAATGTTTTGTATTTGAAACGACGCAGAAGAACGAAATTGGTAGTTTGATTGTGAGCTATTGTCCAGCACTTGCTGGATGGATTACGGAGAATGAGGCGCCAATGAAAAAACTAAAAGGTACGACAAATGAGGATCGTATTCGGCTTTATCATAATTTGGTGAATTGTCGTAGAACTCTTGTTGATTCGGAAGCACTTCGTAAACCACAGGATACTGGCGGTGGATTTTTGCGAAATACTTTGAGACGTTTGTCGAAACATCGGATAGAGAAACTTCGTCAAGAGCACGGTAGTTCAACGGATCATGGCGAGACTTACAAGGGCTTTCATTATGGATATTGGGCGTTTAGTAGACAGAGTGTACCACAGAGTTTGTCGAAATTACCCGACGCTGAGGAACAAATTTCCCTGAGTGTTTTTCAATTAATTTTGACCTACGCAGGTCTTGGACAAAATGGAGACACTGTCAAACGTGTGGAGGATGAACACGTGAATCTCATTCAAACTGTTATGGAACGTTGCATGCGAAAGGAAAATCTCCTTGGTGAATTGTATCTTCAATTGATAAAACAAACAACAGATCATCCGGATCCAAACAGTCGTGTTAATCTCCGTCACTGGGCACTATTGTCCCTGGCATGTTCGGTGATTCTACCGCCTCAGAAAATAATCAGAAAATATTTAATGTCACATTTGAAACGTTGTGCCAGTGATTATGTAACAGAAGAAGGTAAATATGCCCGTTTCGCTGAGAAATGTCTCTACAAAACCCAGGGAACAAGACGACGACAATGGCCACCGAGTCGTGAGGAAATTATGTGTACGATAAATCGACGATTAATTTATGCACGATTTCATTTTATGGATGGTCAATATCATGCTGTTGAATTTCATCCATCAGCAACAGCGCGCGACGTTATGGAAATTATCAAAGCAAAAATTGGACTCGAAGAAACTGCAATGGGCTATGCAATCTATGAAGTTTTGGGATCATCCGAACGTTCATTAATTCCCGAGGAGAAACTCGCTGATGTTATGTCAAAATGGGAACGTTATCGAACAGCAAGCGCCACACAAGGTCAACCAACGAGAAAACACGCTCATCATTTATTCCTATTTAAGAAACATTTATTCCTCGATCAATACATGAATTTGGATGATCCAGTCGAAAAGGAATTACTCTATCATCAAGTATTACACGATCTTCGTGCTGATCGTTTTCCAATTACTGAAAAAGAAGCAATGATGTTGACTGCCCTACAATCACAAGTGGAACTTGGTGACAGTCAAGATGTGGCAATCGGTGAGGAATATCTCGCAATCGCTGGACATTGTTTACCAGCGAGAATTGTTGCCAATTTATCAATAGAAGGTGTTGTTCAACATCATCAATCGCTACGCGGAATGCATTCATCAGAATCGAAAAAATCATTTTTAAATCTTATTCAATCATGGCCATTGCACAAGGCAACGATATTTGATGTAATGCAATCGTTTACCTCTAATTGGCCCCGAATTCTTTGGTTAGCCGTTGATCAAAAAGGACTCCATCTTCTTGAACATCGATCTAGAAATTGTCTCTGTACCTATGAATATGGAACTATTTTGAGCTTCAGTCCGGCTATTAATTGTCTAATGATCATCACTGGAAGTGACAAAAAGCAGAGTAAAGTTATTCTCACGACGTCACAGGTGTGTATAATAAAATATCAAACATTTTTCTAAATTAAAAACATTTGTCAAAAATATTCTTTTTTTCAGGCCTTCCAAATAGCAAATTTAATTCGCGAATACACTGAGGTTCTACAAGCGCCACCTGATATTCCAAAACGAGATTCCACAATTGTTCAACAAATAAATCAACAGCATATTGTTCCTGCAACAACACCAGGAAATCGTAAATCCCGACCAGCGTCAATGTTGCATCGAGGAGCTCCTGTGATTCATTCCCAAGCTAGTTAAAAAGTCTGAGAAAACGCACACACACATACACATAAAAATCGTTATTATATAGTTAGGTAAACTTATTTTCTGCCCATGAGGCCTAGCAAAAATTAACAATTATTTTTCTTTTCGAAAATACGTGACAATCTTTAAAGAAAAAATTGTCAGTGTGCAAATCAATTTTCTTAAAAACGAGAGAAAAAAAATCGATTTGCCCTCTTATTTGAAAAAAGGTACTGAGTACTTCTTCCAATGTATTTAAAAATTTAGCTTCGATATCGAAAGAAGATTTCAAAGCAATTAGAATATTAACTGCCTCCCCCTTTATGGTAATTTAAATTCATTCCAAGCGATGGAGAAAATACTGCCATACAAAATTTTTACAATATTAAAGTATGGAAAGCACAAAAAAAGTCCAAAGAAAATATGTATAATTGACATTGATTGACTATTTACTGGTAATAATTGAATTTATTAATCGTGTCATCGTTTTATACGCGTCGTTGCTTTTCTATACTCGAGTTCTTGACGTTTTTTGATAAGAGCTTTATCGTGTGTTTAATAATCTCGCCCCTCGCCCCCCTTTCCTTCATCATTCGTTACCGAATGCCAAATAATTATAAATACTTTCCCCTCGAGATTACATCAGTATTTAGAAAAAACAGAGAAAGGAAAAAAAATCTTTTTCCACGTTTTTACCGATAGTTATGGCCAAGTTACCAATTTTAATACATATATATTAATAATAGTGTAAATCGAAATTTTTTGATTTTTTTAAATACAGAAAGACTGCCGAACTATTATTGTATAAAAAAAAATCGGAGATGCAATTTCTAGGTGACAATTTATTATTCAAAGTCCCGCAGTTTTTTTAATCGGATCGTAATTATATTTTATTTAATTAAAATTTTTTTCATCGAAAAAGTCGAAAATGTTTAATTAAATAAAATTAAATTTACTTGATTCTAAATTTCAATTTAATTTAATTTTTCAAATCGCGCCCCCTGATGAAAAATACTATTCCGATTATTAATAAATTTTACACTGCAATAATTGTAATTATATATTGAAAATTTATATAAAGAAAAAATTTACAACACGCTTAGAATTGTATCAACGCATATCACAATTCAATTTTGATAAAGAAACCGATTTATTATTAACAATTTTACTTTTTACATAATTTTCTAAATTGTCTTTTTACTTTTCTACGAAAAAAAATTTTTTTTTTGGTTTTTAATCACGTTCAAGTTATTGTGCCTCGAAAAATATTTTCAACTCATTGTTTTTTAATTATCCGAAATTTAATTTCGCATGTAAATACGATGCACATATAAAAAAGCTTTGAAAAAAAACCCGATCAAAGAAAGTCAAAATCACTTTACCCGAGCTATTAGTTAAGAAAAAAAAAATAAAAACATAAACCGATTCGAATCGCGACAAATCGGACCAAGATTTTAAGCTCGATAATATTCGCACAATTATTATTGAAGAAATGCAAACAATAAGAAAAACAAAAATAAAAAAAAGGAAAGTGTTAATTTCTTCTTTTGAGAATTTGGCCGAGCAAATGAGAGCTGAGACAGACTGTGATCCGCATTGAGTGTTCTTTTTCTTTTTAAGTCTTTGAAAGAGAAGAAAACATGTTTTTTGTACGTATGGAACTGAATGAATGTTAATTATAGATGCGGTGAATTATTATAGAGGTGTGACTGTAACATAAGAATAAAAGAAAAATTATTGTTAGAGAGATTATGTGTGTGGATGAGTGTTTTACAAATTTTAGTCTAATCGCGAGGCGTTTAATGCGTTTAAAAAAAAAAAATTTTTCTTGAATTATAAATAAATTATTGGTTGACAATGTTATTAAAAAAATATATATATATTTAAATCAAGAATGCTCTGTATATAATATATATAATAAACGCATACGTACACGCTCACTCACACTTACAAATGCGCGCCTACGTATTATATAAATATATATATTAATATACTCGAACTGTATGAGAACACAATAAAGTCATATTATATTGCAAAAATAATTTAATTTCTAAATCCTAGATTTAATTTGCAAAGATTACCTTGACATTTTCTTAAAAAAAAATTTGTGATTATTCATTAATTTAATAATTAAAATTAACAATTAAAAAATTAGTTTTTAAATACTAAAAGGTAATTTATTTACATTAAATTATAGTAAATATTTAAGATTTATTTATTTAAAATAACGTTGTAAATTTTTAACGAAGTGAATAAAAATTTAACTCGATACACGAAGATATTTTTAAATACAATACGTAGATTATTTATTAATATTATTAAATAATTATGCTTAATTATATAAATATACTATTAGTTTTTTTAAATTATTTTTTTCACGCAATATAATTGCATAAGTTCAATTCTAAAAACGTAATAAATTATTTTGTTTTATATAAAAAAAAAAAAAAATTGAATTTGAATTAAAGTTCTTATTTTTAAATACCACACAACATTTTTAAATAATGTTTAATGTACATTAAACAAAATGATTCGTGAGAATTAACAAATTTTATTGCTCAATAAAATAGAGCAGAGAGAGTAGAAAAAAAAGAATAATGTACAGCGAAAAACAAATACCTTATAGTTTTTCTCTTAAGTCTTCAAAAAAAATTTAGAGGGAAAGAATTTCACGTTTCTTTCGTATCCTCTTTGATCTCGATGTTCCTTCCGATGAAATTGATTCATTTTCTGTTTTTCTACGTTTCTTTGATGGTTCTAGATAATCCTCCTCATTTGGCGTTGTGTAATTTTCATCATCAAAATCAATTTCCGTTTTAATGATACATTGTTCCAATTGTGGAATTGATGTTTCCAATTGAACGTTTGTTTCTTCCGGCGAAGCGTCAAGAAGATTAAAAAGTTGCATATTCAAGAGATCTTGAAATTGCTGTTGACCCTGCATTGGTAATAATTCAAAATTATGTCGTTCCAATAAACTTTTTTTGAAAAAAACATTTCCATTTTTTGTATATTTCAACCATCTCACATCAGGACTAATGTACACTTCATCCGTTGACGATTGATCTTTCCATAAACTTTCAAAATCAACAAACATTTCTGGTTCCATAAAGACAATATTCGATTTTTTATTCTGTCGTGCAATTGCTTGGAAATTTCGATACCAATCCTCAGGTTCGTCGGCTTTAATTGAATGATTTTGCACAACATCACCAATCCAATCATCGTGAAGATAGTCCTTTAATTGCGCGTGTCCTGAATATGTAAATTTATGATCGACCGAGACAAGTGATTTGTGATTTGTCATGAAATACGATAACATTTGTGCAAGTGTTTTATTTTTACTTTCGCCATGGCAAGACGATGAATAAATAATCAATGATCTCAATTGTGCTGGTAATTGTTTTAAATATTGAAATAAACAAGATGCAATTTCATTTGATGTTCGTTTACCTTCAACTTGTGTCCACACATAGAACATTGGATTATTTGGCATATGATTATTTTTAAATTGCCAAATTGTCAAATTAAAAATTGACAATGAATTTGAATTTGTTCGCGATGGTATTGGAAAATTTTGTTGAAATCCAAATGAACAGACCATCATTGTATTAATTAAACGTGCCGATTCTTCTTCTTGAAATTTACATTTATAAACAATTGTCGAATAATCCAAATGACTTGTTAGACGTTCGCAAATTCTTTCACGCATTTGTAGATTTTTCATATTTTTAAATTTATCTGAATATGTTTCACATTCATCACATTTGTCAATAAATGCCGGTTTATAATTGACATTATTCACTGATAATATATTTTGATACCAACCAATACTTAGAGGAACGGTAACTTTTTTCTGATATTGCGAATACATTGCTTGAATATTTATTTGTAAATGATTTTTTTTCATTCTTGTAATTAAATAATCATGAATATGTTCCTGTGCCAATTGTATTTGTTTAATTATATCAGCAGTTAATAAATTTGCCGATGTTGTCGCTGAATCATTGAAAGTATTTAATGCATTATTCATTTCGTCGGCGTTTATTTTTTCCAATGTTCTTTTTGTTGTTAATTGATGGGAAATTTTTTCACTCAATTCATCCTGATTTTCACTAATTTGTTTTTTTTCATTTCGTTTTGGAGTTTTTATTTGTTTTGCAATTTTTACTGTTTGTTCCTTGTGAATTTGTTTATTCTTTTGAATTGGTTTTTTTGATTCTTGACGTATTTCAAGATTTTTCAAATTTTTACTTATTTCTTGATTTTCATTGTTGATAATTTTATCAGCTGAAGTAGATGAATCTTTTTGAGAATTTGTAACTGATTTATTGGCTGTGTCGATATTTTTATTTTCAAATATCACGGGCTGATTTTCATTTGTTGAAGTAGAAGGATTGTCTATTTTCTTTTCTGAAAAAAAAACACATTAATTATTTTTGTTTTCTTTACTGTAAATTTTTTTTATCAATTTAGAAAAAAAAATATCTAACTTACTGATACTTGCGGTTGCTCTTCCCGATTTTTGTAAAACTGATTCGACGAAACTCATCGTTTCGCCGAGAACATGAGCGAAACATGTTTTACAAACACGTTGAGGGCCAATACTTGAATTGTGATAATATCTTTTTCTCCCCGATTTCTCATTATTAGAATTACGTGAATTATTAACTTTCACTGAAGCGTTAATAAAATGATATCGCGAATGAATTGTCGAATTTCGCCAATATGAATTGTAAATTTGTTCTTGATCCTGATTTTTTATTGTCACAAAACAACCATTTCGACATGGTTGCAATTTTGAATAGCCTTTATTTAATTTTTCCATTCGAAGAAGTTTACTCGTTGAACAATCATATTCATCAGTTTTCCATTTTGAAATATTATCATTATCATTATTTACTTCCTCTTCGTTTTTCGAATTGTTACGTTCAAGTAGAGCTTCAACTTCATGAACTTCAGACTTTATTTCATCTGAAATTATAGAAATAATATTTTTAAAGAAATAATTTAAATAACAATTTTATATATAATTGAAACTTACCGATGAGTGTTTGTGCTTTTAATTTTAATACAGTTAAAATGTCAGATGGACGATCGCAAAGTATTTTATTATAGCACAATTTGCAAACAACTTGAGGACCACGTTCAGTGTTGATGAGAAATTTAACCGAGAATTGTCCTGGATCTTCGGAGAATGGTTTACTTTTCAATAATTGCGGTAGAACTTGAATTGTGTCGTAAATAAAATTAAATCGTGACTCCGATGTTCCCTTGTGCCAATAAGTAGAGAAAACACGTTCCTGTTCTTTTGGTGTTACTTTCAAATAACAAAGATTTGAGCATTGGCCAAGTGGTTGAAATTGTTTCATTTTTTTCAAATGATCCAAACCCAATAAATTATCATCTATTCTCTTTTTTTTACCTGATAATTCAAAATTTTTCATAATTGACTTGATATTTTGTGAATTTGTATTTTCGTAGAATTTCTCATTAAATGACTTAATTTCAGAATCTTGAGTTTTTGGAAACAGAGTTGATCCAATGATTTGTGAATTATCGTCTGATTGTTCAAATTCTGAACAAATTTCATCGTCTGATTCGTCATCTGAAAATTTATTATCATAAGGTGCTTTTTCTTGTTCGATATCAATTTCTTCTTTTACTACGCTCTCTTCAGCTGGTAAAACTAAACTAAAGTCATCTTCATTCTCCTCGGCTAGAATCGAATCATCGTAATTTGATTCTACTTTAACAATATTGAGATTAAATTCTTCCTTTTCATTTGTATTTTTTTTACTATTTACATTTTCTTCTTCTTTGTCAATTATTTTAAATTTTAAATTATCTTCTTTGTTTGATGTGAAATCGTTTAATTCATTTTCAGCATTTGTTTCCGAATTTACAGTTTGTAAATTTTGATAAAAGTCATGAACACGAGAATTGAGGAAAGGTAATAAATTTAAAAGATTATTTTTCTTTTTCTCCATTATGAGATTAATTTCAGTATTTTTGAAATTATTGAAAACATTTGTTTGCTGAGATTCTGTGAACATTACTTCATAACTGCCAGTCCATTTTTTCTTGAAAAAAACATTACCTGTTTTTGTATATTGAATGCATGTGACATCATCGTCAATTTTTCCACCATCTATTGAACTGTTCGGACTATTGCCGAGAAGAGTTTTAAAATTGTAAAATTTACTATTATCCATAACAATAATTTGTGATTGTTTTTCAATGGCAATTTCATTTAAAGCACTGTACCAATCATTTGGCTCTTCAATTTTACCGACATTTTTCGCCAATATATCTGGACACCAATTTTCTCTTTGATTTTTATCAGAATAAAAATGACCGTCAAGTAAAAATTTATGTTCGAGAAGTATTAATGATGGATGATTTATGACAATATTGGCGAGAAATTTACAAAGTAGTTTACTTCGACTTTCACCATTACATGAAGTTGAATAAAAGACAACGGTTTTAATGGATCGTGGTAAATTTTCCAAATAATTATATAAACATGAAGCAATTTCATTAACTGTCTTTTGTCCCTGAGTTTCGTTCCAAACATATGATTTAAATGAACCCTCGGTTGGTTTAGTTTTTGATGTTTCTGTGATTGTGAAATTATATGTCCACAAAGGTTCCGTATAATAATGAATTGGATTATTTATAAATGGTGTTGGTAAACTTGGATGAAATTTAAATGTACAAATCAAAAGTGTATTGACTTTACGTTTTTCGTCACGTAATTTAAAACTGTGTGATTTTAATGCACCATTTAAATGTGAAGTTAAATAAGTTTCAAGACGAATTTTATTTTTCGATAAATCTGTGGATTGTGATTGTTGACTTGCCATTTCACAATGTAAACATTTTTCAACAACTGATGACAAAAAACGTAATTTAGTTTTTTGAAAAATCTTTTGATAAGTGAGAAAATTCATTGGATTTGAAATTTCTTCTTTATAGAGATAATACATTGTTTCGAGTGTTAGACCTCTTGGTAAATATTTTTCATTACCACTATCGGTTACGTGATGTGTTTCAAATAATGGAAATTTTTTAAAATGACTTATAACTTGATTGTATTTCTCACCATTTTCCAATTCGGAACTTAATTCTGTCCATTTTTCGTCTAAAATTTCATTAATAATAGACGCTGATTCTTTGATTATAAGACGAAAACAATTTGCGCAAACAAGTTGTCGACCAAAACTTGTTTCAAGATGAAATTTACTAATGTATGGCTTATTTGATGTAGATTTTATATTAATTTTATATCGAATATTTTCCTCGATATCTGTACTTTCTAAAATGAATTTACATCGTTGTTCAATTGTTGTTTCGTGCCAATAGTTGTATAAATTTTGTTTTTTCTCCTTATCTGATACCATTAAATTACATTTCATACTGCAAAGCGTTCGATTTTGATTTTCCGGAAAATTATTTACAAATGAATCGTTATCATCATCTGGATTCAAATGAAAATTTTAATAATTAATTTCTTTTATAGAATTAAGAATTAGAATAATTTAACAAATAAATTTTTATATCATTAAATTAGAAGTATAAAAAAATAATTTAGTTTATTAAAAAATTTAATGAAACTTACCGGTAAAATTAATGAGCTTTTGAGCTAAAACTGTTTTAATAAATGGTTCCTGTTCCCCTAACATAAAACGAAAACAGGGTCTACAAACGTGTTTAAAACCATTTCCTTTATTGATATTGAAAAAAACGTAGTATTTTTGCTCTCCAATAATAATAGGAGTTCCCTTCACACAATCCTTTGGCAAATATACTTCTGCCATTTCATTAATAAATTTATATCTTGAAATAACTGTTGAATTATTCCAATAAGAATCAAAAGTATTTTTTTGATCCTCTTCACTCATTTTCAAATGACAATTATTGATACATGATTCTATTTTCATCCATTTTTTTGGTTTATTATCAATTTTAACTAAACTATCAATATCTGTGGTTGTTAATAAAAAAGGATCATCATCTATTCCATTGTCTTTTGATTGTTGCTGAAAAGAATTAACCAAATCCATTCCTGTGAATAAAAAAAAAATTAATACTTTATGTTCTTTTTAATTTAATTACGATTCCTCTCATTGTTATAAAAAAAGAATAAATTTAGTCAGAGACATTTATAACAATGAAATAAAAAAAGAAAATCGTTGTAAAAATAATAGTTAGAAGTAAATTAAAGACAAAGGATTAATTTACATTTATAAATTATTTCTAATTAATTATAAATATATATTGAAAATAATTATCTTAATTTTAGTAAATATAAACAAAAACACTTAACCTTATAATTTAATTAAATTGAAATCAATTTGAATAAAAAACTTACCATCTTGAGAAATAATTGTAAACGTGGTTCCATCATTTTTATTGTTAGTATTATCCATTGAGATAATTGTTGAAAACTGAGTTAAATATTAAATTAATTAAATGCATTAATTACAAAACTGACATCCGAAAATATTGACAATTGACCCAACCTAACTTATAGAGAAGAAACACTACATTAGTCAAATTGTCAATTATTAATACATGGCAGAATTCCAAACGACAATTTGGTTATGTTTTATTAGAATAATATTAAAATTAAAAAGTTAATTTATTAATAAAAAAGGTTTTCTAACTACATAATAATTTTATTTTTTTTAAATACAGAAATTTTAATTATTATTCAATTCAAATTTACCGCCAATTTCTTTTAACAGGAAGTTAATGATTGTCATGCATTTTGATTCGTGGACGATTGCAGATATCCACCAATGAGTGTTTTGTGTCCTGCCCGCCAAATGTTGCACTCAACCAATCAGTGAATAGGAAATACAGTCAGGAACAGACATGTTCAGGTTGATATTCCCTTCATTCGAATGTTTGCGTCCCTTTGGTGCACCTCGTCTTTTCTACAAAGATGGTAAGATTTTATCGTTTTTTCTTGAATTTCTTGCATGCTAACTATTTTACTAGACAGGGGGAATGATATATTGTAAAAATATAACCTAAATTGGTAATTAGTTAATACAGTCAACGACTTAAGCATTGTCCTTCGCGTGCCCATTGACACACATTATCGTTGCATGCAAAGTTCACAAAATCGATCAAATTTTGGTAAATCTCACAAACTTTTATAAATATTTCTTTTGTTTCGTATTATTAAACATGATGTGCATGGGGGAATAGTTATTATTTTTGGTTTTTTTCGATTATTTGGGCAAAAAATTGGAAAAATTTTTGCGACAATGAAAAATTTCCAAGATGGCGGCCATTAACAATTGTTGAATAATTGGCATTTTTTTTTTGTTTCAGATTCCTAATTGGTGGCCAGTCAAGATCCTCAGCAAATTATCTCTTGCTAAAGCTGTTTGGAACCCGGTCTATTCGTTTAAGGTTATGTTTCAAAAATTTTCTCAAAATTCGGAAATTTTTGTTCATAATTGAGAGTAGGGATCTCCGTGGACTGAACAGCTTTAAGAGGATCATTTGTAACATCGAATTTTCAACTTTGGTAAGATATTTGATAAATAATAGTAAAATATTTTATTCCGACAATCGAGATTTTCTATTTTTGTCAAAATTATTTAATTAATTAATTTTTTTTTTGCTTTTTTGACAAAAATAGCGATAATTAATATTGCATTTCATATTTTTACATTTTTTGCTCAAAAATATTTGTAATTAATATTGATTCGTAGTCATTTTCTAATTAAAACAATAAAATATAGCTAAATTTCTATTTTTCGTGATTTTGCTAGTAATAAAAATGATTTTTTTCCATTTGAAAAAAATATACGTTTATTAATAATGTTAATAATTATGGTATTTTAGGTTATGTCGTTTAATTTTTATTATCAGTAAAATAAAATAATTTGTTTAAAAATATGGACAGTGAAAAATATTTTCTAAAAAGTGAAATTTAGTTGAATTATATAATTACAATTATTATATTAAATTATATAATAATTACAATTGTTAAATTATATAATAAATACAATTGTTTAATTAGAATAATGATATTAATTTATTTTTTTCTGTTTTACAGAAATTATTTACTATTTCTTTTTTTCAGGCTCACCTATGGAAAAAAAGGACAAAAAATCATTTTTTACAAGTTTCGAGTCAGTGCGGGAGATTAAAATTATTAAGTCTTTAAAATTTTATTAAAATAAAATATTAAATAGAATATTTTTCAAATTTCGAGTCAGTGCGCGCTAGTAAAAAAAAAATTGAATCTCTGAGGTTTTTTTAAAATAAATATGTCAAAATTTTGTAAATATTTTTGAAAATTTTTATTTTAAATTTCAGAAAATATTACTTTTTTGTACTCTTTCTGAATTTTTATTTGATTCGAAAACTAAAATTCTGAATTTTAGAAATATTGAGTATTTAAAATTTTTCTTGCAATATTATTAATAAAATTAATTATTGAAAGTACATAAAACAATTATAAAGTTAAAATAAATTGAATAAAAAATATTTTATAATGAAATTATTCAAATTATAATTTCTTTTCAAATCTTATGCTTTAGATGATTCAAATATTTTATTTTCGTGTGTTGTTGAATATTTGGATGCTTTGAAAAAATTATAAATTAAGGTAATTTTTCTGAAAAAAAGAAAATTTTTTACAATATATTTTAGTGTCTTAAAAAATAATTAAAAATTATTTAATACATATTTGTTTCTTTGTTTTTTACAGAATTGACGAAAGAACACGAATGATATGGACTTTGAGAAAAAAGGAAATTCCAGCAATTCCACTACGGACTCACACAAATCTGCGATTAATGGTTCGTCCCTTTTGCTTCTTAAAAAGAGCAAATTGTAATAAATTTGAAAAATCTCCTAGTGACCGCTAATTAAATCAGTTACCTTCAAAATTGAATTAATTTATTTAATTAATGAGTGGATTTCTGTTTTTATTTCTTAGATTAAGGTAATTTTTTCTTGGGTCACGCGGAAATGTAATAATTACAGATATTTTAAAAATCGATCAAACTATTTAATTTACGATAAAAAGGCCGTTTTATATTGTTTAAAAAAAATTATACCAAGAAAAAATGTTAAATTTATATTTTATCAAAGTAAATTAATTTTGAAAAGTAAATTTAATACTACAATTTTTTCGAAAAATGTTCAATATAATCAAAAACTTTTTTAGAAAAGTAGTAAATAACTAATAAATTTTTGCTTAAAACAATTTGGAAATTTTAGAAAATTAACATTCATTCTAATTAAAAATAACATTTTAAAATGAATTAATAAATTAATACTTTTGGTAAATTTAAAATTTAAAAATTTATTTTTTATTTAGAGTAGGATGTCTTAATTTTTTTTCTTTCAGGTTTTATTGAGGTATTAATTATTTTCTATTATTAAAAGTCAATTATTTTGAAATAATTGATTTTTAATACTTTTTAAATCCACTTTGTCACTATTAGATTTTTCCCACTTTATTTTTTATTTATTTATTTAGTTATGGGTTTAAAAAAAAAAAATAGATACTATCGTATTGTTTGTCAAAAATTAGAAAGTATTTAGGAATTGTTTATCAAAATCGTTTCGAAAGTTTAAGGAAATATTTTTATTTCCTTTTCTAGTATTTTTCGTTTTTATTTTTTTCTTTATCGTTTTAGTATTTAAAAAATTTGGTGAATTATTATTTTTATCATCATCATTTTTGTTCCTTGTTTTCGCTGTGTAGGACTTTTATTTTTCTTCGTTCTTCGTAAATTATTTGTCGTCTTTGTGCAGTATAAAAAAATTGATGGTTAATTGTAAAAAGACTTAAATTTTATAAATAAAAAAAGAGGAAATAGGAAATTCGGGATATGTTAAATTCTAAGATAGATAATAATTATTTTTTAAATAATAAACCAGTAGGCTTCACTCTTTTATTAATTTAAAAGTGTGAATAAATATATAGACCAATAATATTCAATGTCTCACTAATTTTTTTTTATTAGTGAAAAAGCTTTTGTCAAACACTTCATTACATTCATTTTACACAATAAATATACATGCCGATATCAGTTTCCTTTGTTCCTTCGTTTTTTTCATTTTTTTTTCTTTTTTTTTTGATTCTGTATATATATCAATGCGAATCACTACAAAATTATTTTTGCAGATGATTAGTGGTTGTTATATATATATTATTAAATGCTTTTGTGGTTCTTTTTTTCATGATTCTTAAAAAATCTATTAGTTAAAATTATAAAAATTATACAATAGAATGGAAAAATGTTAATAATATAATTTTCAGCGATTACGAATTATCGCATAAAGCGCTATAATTTCATCAGTTTTTTACGTTTTAAAAACGTAATTATAAGTTGAACACAAGCGGTAAATTTTTTGCGTTAATACGTATTCGCTATTTTTTACAGCTTTTTTTCGGTAATTTGACATCTTTCGTAAATAGCAATTTTTTAAAATATATAATATAGATTAAAAGTTGAATTTTTTTTCATGTGTAGAAAAATTGCTTTTGGAAGTCTGCAATATTGACTTTTTTTTTCTTTTTTTTTCGAAACAGCAAGGAAACTGAGGCAACATTTTCTCTCAATTCAATATTCACCTTTCAATAGTGAAAACAATTTATTCATTATAATAAGAATTAAGCATAATATTTTACGAATAAAAATTTTCTATTGCTTGCAGATTATTTATATATATTTATTATATGTATATAAATTAATGCGGTGATAGTTTTTAATGATAAATAATTAAAATAATAAATTTCCCGCTGATGAAAGCGCAGTTTTATAATGATTATAAAAAAGTAACATATTGTTTTTTGTTTTTGAATTTTCGAGATAAAATCACAAAAACAAGTAGCAATAATTGTCATTTTTTTTTTAATGATCATTTTTTATAATAATTGACTAAATTTTTTTTTATATTATTTGTTAATTACTAAAGGGCATAAAACTCCCTGTAAATGCGAGTAATACGCACCTGCGTCTCATTTATATTCATTACAGTATGATTTTTTTTTATTCGTGTAACATCGTATTTACAAAAAAAATCCAATTGTGATAAAATTTTTCAAATTGCACTACCTAAAATTTCATCTACAAAATGTTTTATTTTCATTCAGTCCTCGTAGTTGCGTTTTTGAGCTAATCGATCCCAGATTATCTACACTCAGGAGGCAGATTTTTTAAATCGACTGGCCATGATTTTTTTTTATCATAAAATCGTAAAAGATACATTTTATTACTCTCAGATTTTGTTTCGCTCGAAATTTTTTTTTAATTTTAATTTAAATTTTAATTGAATTTAATGGAAATTAAAATTTAATTTTTAAAATTTAATATTCAATTAAAATTTAACATTAAAATTTAATTTTGGAGCGATTTTTTTTACTAGGATTCGACTAATAATTTAATTTCTGCTTTCGATTGTACTCTCACACCGAGTTTCACACTTTATATTCACACTCTTTCTCTCTCTCCCTCTTATTCGTGCACACATACCTAAGTATTAATTTTTTGCAAATCAATTTTTGAAGTTCGTTATTTACAAAGTTTTGTCTTTAGTCATTAGGATTAATTTTTCTAAAATTAAACTCTTAAGAGAATTTTTCATTAATCGAGATTCAGACTGTTCTGTTAAAAGGTCCAACAATAAATGTTTCGTTAAAAATTTATAAAACTTTAACGATGAGAATATTTTTTTTCTAAATATTCATTTGGGAGCTTTTGGACTTCCAGATTTTATTTTGCTTTTTATTCGTTCTGATTTATTGAATTAAATTAATGAACTGAGTAGATTAGTATAATTACGAAATTTGTTAATAAAATCGAATCAATTTTTAAAAAATATTTTTTACATAAGAAATAAATAAATTCAGATAATATAATAATTAAAATAATTGATAAATAATTAATTTAATTTCAATTTAAATTAATTAAATACGCATTATAAAAAATTTCGATAAATTACAAATTGTTGGAAATTTCGAACAGAACGGAAGAAAATTAAGGAATAGTTAATAAAATTTAGAATGTCCATTATTTAATTAGCCTACTCACAATTGCTCAGATTTGGTTATAACAATCTATAATCTATGATCCGGTGTTCTTTTAAGATTAAGCAAGATTAAGAAAGTCCCTAGTAATGTAATATTTGATACTAGTTTGTACAAGTGAAATGAAGTAATAATATTGATATACGAGTTTTTCTCATCTCAGTACATGTCTTGGACATTTTTTTTCAGATATATATTTTTTCATTTTACTACATTAATGATAAATTCTAAACTTCCTTAATCATTTAATTTTATGAACTTGACTTTTGCAAAAGCTCTCTAAATTTTGCTTTCTTTCTCTCTTTTTCTCACTCTGAAAAAAACAAGATACGCGCATTTAATACAATCTCACGTTTATCTAAATTCTTCGATCGTGTTTTACAATTTTTTTTTATAACTATAAAGTTCATTATTTTATAACATATTGTTTCTTACAAAGATTCAATATTTAAAAAAAAGTATTCTCACTTTCGTGAAACTTTAAAAGGATTGCACTCTCTCAAAGGAGATGTTCTTTTTTTCTCTTATCTTTAATTTTTGTTTCTTGATAAAGTTTCTATATAACAACTTACAAGATAGTAAATGATAGTGTCAAAATCACAAAATACGTTATCACAAAACAGTGTTGAATTTAGAAAAACAATTTTTATAACATAATTTTGAATTCAAAAGTTAAAAAAATATTAAATGTGAATAAAAATTTATACAATTTTTCTTTTTAATTAAAAACTTTTCCTTAGCGGAACGTATAATCACAATAAATCTTAATTAAATTATAATAGGATATAATTATTAAAATATAATTAACTAAAATGAACATTACAATAAATTACTAGGTAATTAATTATTTTGAGGTAAATTAAAAATGAAAGACAAGAAAATTTATCACTAATCACTTGTTTCTTCGTTTCTATATAACTAACATTGTTTTGTTTTAACATCTTATTAGCTTTCTATATTTTCCGTTAATTTTCATAAAAGACGTAAAAAAACGGTCTATTATCAGTTCTCGATGAAAACATTTATGGTTTTCCAATGAAGGCTTATCGGACGTTGATATTTTGTTAAATATTTGCGATATATTTTTTTATTATGTATATATAATAATCGTCAAATACAACATTGAATACAAAAAAGGAATGCCTTCATTGGAATACCTTCATATAGAAATCACAATTTTTGTTGGCTTCACTCGTCACGATAAAAATCAACAAATAATGAGATTGTCTTTTCATAATTTTCAAACAAAAAAAAAAAAAGAATCTTTGTTTCTTTGAAATTCTATACAGAGTTGAAATTGTTAAAAAAATGTGATTTTTTCCTGTTAATAGCGATCAAGGCAAATTGAAGGAGAATGAATTATACATATGACTTAAAAAAAAGTATAGATATAGAACACACTTCCACAATGGTACCTGACCACTCTTTATTCTCACATCATTCACAAGTTTTAAATTCAAGTTCAAATCACTTGATAACACTTGCTTAAATTGTCTGTGATTTATTAATCTTCACAACCACTCAAATTTTTGTTTTAATTTTTTTTAGTTCAATCATTCTTGCGCGTTATTCTAGAAAATATAATCTCACTCGCTTCATGGAATGGACTTATCACTTTTATTTTCTTTTTTTTTCATTAGACACTTTTTGTCATCATTCCTTTTCGTTCATGTCATCGTAGTGAGAGAACTTAAGGAACACTTGCTCCAATGTTGTTTGACTAAAACTGTATTCCTCGATATCTAATTCTAGTTTAGCTGAAACATAAAAATTAATTTCAATTTTATTGTCAAGGAGGTAAAAAGGGTGATAAATTTTTTTTTGAGTTTCTTGTTACCTTTTTCCAACTGCGTGAAACATTCGGCCAGCGAGTGTACCGCATGTTGGGGCACAGAAAATACCAGTCTATCGACAAAACTTTCCTCTAATGTTGCATCGGAAAATAATCCTGCAACAAATTCTTTTAATCCTGTCATTCTATCACAAGACGGTGTCGTTGGAGTGGAATCACCACCCAAGAGTTTTATTTCCAATGTATAGCCAGCACCATAGAGATTTTTGAGATGTTGAGTCGAACCAATACACCTCAATTCACCCTTCACCATTATTCCAACTCGCGAGCAAAGTGCATCGGCTTCCTCCATTGAGTGAGTCGTTAAAATTGCACCTCTGCCACCCTAATTAGATAAAAAAAAATATTGAAATTTTAATTTAATTTCTTTTTCATTCAATTTTCTTTTCAATAAATTTTTATTTAATAAAATTTATTTTTAATTTGCACCTGGAAACTGGCGAGAATTGTGTCCCAGAGGAACCTTTTTGATCTTGGATCCATTCCAGTGCTAGGCTCGTCCATAAGAACAACTTTTGGTCCACCCACCATTGCCATTGCAAAACTGAGTTTTCGTCTCGTTCCTCCAGAACATTCTTGAGTTTGTTTATCGGCATGTTCGTAAATTTGTAGCCCCGATAGATATAAATCTACAATTCTGTGAAAAATTAAAAAAAAAAAAACATTACACATTTTATATTATTTTTTGAAAAAAAACATGAAAAATTATTTATTGAGATAAAATATCAATTTTTTTATAAATATAATAAATACCGATTGACTTCAACCCAAGGAACACCGCGTATAGCAGCGTAACATTCTAAATGTTCCCTGACTGTGATATTTTTCCATTGAGCATCATGTTGAGGACAATAACCCATTTTTCGAAAAGCTTCATTCATATGGGAATTGATATTTAAACCGCTAATTTGAACTTTGCCTCGGGACGCAGCCTCTTCGGCTATTATTATCTTCATTGTTGTCGTTTTTCCCGCTCCATTGTGACCCAATAAACCAAAAACTTCACCTGGTTCGACGGCCAATGATAAATTTCTCACGGCCAATTTACACGAAGGCGTTGTTTGTTGTTCACGTTTTGTGCAACAATTGCACATTCCAACTTCGCGTTGATATTCTTTTCTTAAATTCTGAAACAATTTTACAATATATCGATTATGTTATTTTATGAAAAAAAAGTGAATTTTAATTCTAATTAATTAGAATGATTTAGATTTCATAGAAAAATTTAAAATGGGAGAATACAATATTTTTATAATTACTTGAACTAAAACAACAGGAGGCTCCTGAACAGCCGAAGTGCTAATTAAATTGAAAACTTTTTGTCGCTCGTTTTTCACGTCTATGTCCTCATGTTCTCCAATGTCAGGGTTCTCCATAATTTCTTCTCCAATCGAGCCACCGTTTCTCTAAAATTTTACAATTAAATTAGTTTAATTTTAATAACAAAAATTACAAAATTAAAATAATAAACATAATAAAATTAAACTTTGGTCATTATTTTAAGAATTATATAATGAATAATTTGATTGCAATAGAAATATAGTAAAGGGGAAAATATTTATTGACTTACGGTAAAATATTTAAATAAATCGCTGATATTGCCACCACTCTTCTTGATATCGAGTAGAAGTAGAACAAAGAACCAAACAGGACAATGAAGAATAACTCCAACACCCATGATAATTATTTCAGTCGTCAAATAATCGGACAATGTCAAATGTTGACAAGCCGTGTTTATTGAGCACATTAGATGAACACGATCAACATAATAAACCGCCGCATACGGAACGTACATTGTATTCAATAATGAGAAAACAACATGAAGAGCAAATGCTGCAGTTCCACCTGAAGAATAATAAAAATTTAGCGTATTAATTTTATTAAAAAATTTAGTGAATTTGTATTTAAAAATAAAACTTGTGAAAATATTAACTCACCAACGCCCAACATATCTAAAATCATGACTAGTAGAAATGGTATGAGGCCAAAAAATGTTGCTATATTTGGCAAGATACTTTGAGCAGAATCCATTTTATCGAAAATATAACTGAGACATGTGGAAAATAATATTGACGATGGACAATAAAGCATGAGTAAACTACCGAGTGTGAGAAGTGCTGGTATTTCTTGAAGTGATGGAACATCAAAGAGGAATATAATCCCAAGTATACAGAGGCAAATAATACTCATCAATCCAACCAAGACGATAAAATACGTGATAAAATACATCGTAAACGAGAGACCATTCACGCGGAGTTGATTCTTTGCTTTTATCTAAATTGAATTGAAATAAACAAAATTGCGAGTTAAAAATTTACAGCAAATTGATTATATTATAAATATTTGTGATTTTTCATGAGGATTTTACAAATCGAAAGGTGTACACATTTTTTTTTTTAATTTCAAAATTTCATTTCGAAATAAAGAAAAGAAAATTTTGAAAATTTAAAAACGTTGTGTACCTTAATTTTAAATTGTTGAAAAATAGTTTTTTCTATAAATTAGACTTTAGTTTCGTTATTAAATTAGTTTTCTTGAGAAAAACATACCTCTCGATCATAAACCATATCCACGGCCAGAGTAATTGGTACTAATACAAAATCCATTCCGATTAAAAGCGCTGAACTTGCGACGCCGATATTAAATTCCTGGGGCTGTGATGTTTGTTGAAACGGTCGGCTTGTAACATTAATAACATCTACTTCGTCTGTTTTCTTTAAAAGTCTGTAAAAAAAAATTAGTTTCAATTTCGAGGCTTAAAACCTTGATTATTCGATTTTTCATCTTTGTTATTTTGAATTTCTTTACATCCGAATCAAATTCGGTTCCAATATTCATTCGAATAATTTGTTTTTAATTATCTAGTGGAAAAATCATCATAAAAGTAATAAATTAATAATCGTACCTTAGATAAGAATTGGAAATAATATTTGCAAGAACCGGCAAGGAATGTTGCATAGTGTCATTGTAGGAAATAGTCAAATTCATGTGTTCATTGTCAAATGAATTAATATTCAAAACAGCCATGTGTGGCGCCATATCAAGAAGATCGGCATATTTTCCCTTAAATTCTTCCACATAATTCACATCCTGTTTGATTTGATTTAAAAATGGAGCAATATCATGACTGCTCTGATTTGTGAAGAGAATTCTCGTTTCGTCTTGATATGTGTCTAAAAAAGGAAAAAAAAATTATAAAGTAATTAAAAAATTAATTAATTAACTTTTGACATTTGTGATAATTTACCATTGCTGAGTGACAAACTTTGTATTCCCATTTCAACTTTTTGAATACTGTTTACATATAATCCAAGAGCAACAAGGGCAAGTGGAGCGACAATCATAAAATAAAGAAGTTGAATATTCCTCAACAATCTTAAAACTCGTAATCGCAACATTGCGTACAAAGTTTGGAGACAGTTAGGCCGGATTTTAATTGGGTCCAAACCCAGGCCAAGTATCGCGGGGTTTTTCTCGTTTATTCCATCTTGCATATCAACAGCTCCTAAAATTAAAATTTGTAAAATATTAATTTTTTTAAAACAATAAAAATATTCTCTTCTTTTTTTTCTCAAACAAACCTTTGACTTGTCCATCAGTTTGAACAGTTGCACCTTCATTTTGTAAACTTTGATAGGATGTACTTTTTGATTGTAATGAGAGTGAACGACTTAGTGCTCGATTTCGAACCATTTTCTTTGATAAATTATCCATTGTACATTCAGTTTCTTCATCTTTTTCTAAATGTAGAAAAACTTCCTCTAATGTTGTCATTGATACACCATAGCTACTGATACCCAATCGTGATGCTTTTGTTTTTATTTCCTGTTCAATCGCTGAAAAAAGTGGTGCAAAATTTTCCACTGAATTGTGCGGTAAAATAAAACTCAATTCACGGCCGTGTCGTCTTGCTTTTTCTGCTTTTGAAACGTGAGATGTTACGAGACGAGTTATCGCGTGTTCTCTGGCATTTCCCTCCAAGACAAGACTGTAAGAGAAATTTGAAATTAATTTTCTGTTGAGTAAATATTTTTTATGGAAAAGCTTTTTTTTACATACGTCAAGTGATAGCCAATTCCAAATTTATTTTTAAGAAACAGAGAACTTCCACAACATCTCAATTTTCCTTTACTAATGACAGCCTTTCTATCAGCTAAAATATCGGCCTCATCCATAAAATGTGTTGTCAGTAAAATAACCTTGCCGTGTCTTCTCGACTGTAAAAAGGACCACATTTGTCTCCGTGAATAAGGATCAACGCCCGCTGTTGGTTCGTCCAGGATAATTATTTTTGGATCGCCAATTATGGCAATGCCAACTGATAGTTTTCGTTTTTGACCACCGCTTAGATATTTTGCGAATGTATCTGCTTTTTCAATTAAATCAATGTCTTTCAAAGTTTTCTTCACCTAGGAATAAAAATAAATTGTCAAAAAATTGAAATTTTCACCTTTTAAAAATTTAAATAATTAAATTTTTTTACCTCTGGTTCAATCATGGATCTTGGAATACCTCTGACGGCAGCAAAGAATTCAAGATGTTCTCTTGGTGTTAGAAGATCAAATAAAATATCATGTTGAGGACACACTCCAGTCATACTTCTAATCATATGCATATCATTAGAATCTCTAACATCGTAGCCAAAAATAAATGCCGTTCCTGCTGTTGGTGCTGTAAGTCCTGTTAAAATATTAAACAATGTCGTTTTTCCTGCTCCATTGTGCCCCAAAATAGCAGTAATCTGCCCTTCATAAATCGTTAAATTGATGCCATTGACAGCTTTCGTTTCTGGTCTACGACATTTGTGATACGATTTATATAAGTCGACTATCCTTATTGCTTCGCGACCCTTCATTTCTCGCACCACTGGCTCCACATCTCGATTTTTCTCTTCTCCTGGGATAAAGGAATTCGATTCGCCATTTGATGTGGGTACCTTTTTTTTGTGGACATTAGAAAAATTAATCTCTTTTTTTCCCCTCTCATATCGGAAATTATATTTTATTGATATTTATTTTATTTTATTATTTATTTGAGAATATTATAAATTACCCTTTGCGGTTTTTTTCGACACCAAAATCCGGGAACGAAACAAAACCAGGCGGGTCTTTTGATGCCGTATTCACCTGAGAAGAATAATTAATTTCGTTATGGAATTTTTTTTATTAATTAAATTATGAGACGCATGAATAAGTTTTAAATTTAATTTATTCGAATTTTTCATTTGACATAATTTCATTTCATTGACAAAAAAAATGTATTTGATTCAAATAATCGGTTTCTTTATACTATTATCAAATAAATATTTACCAAATAATTTTTATTTGACTCAAATAATAATAATTTCTGTTAAATAATAAAATATAAATTCTCGAAATAAATTCTAGATAATGGAATTATGTCAAATGAAAATTGGAATAAATTAATTTTAGAGCTTACTGATACGTCTCGAAATTATCTTGAAATGCGCTTCTTATAATATATATCTCACTTGGAATAACTGAATCCAGATAATAAGCCAGCAATCCATAAAGAAAGATATCTAAAGTTAACATCACAATACTACCACCGAATGGGATTCCTGGACCTGACCAAAGATTGTCGAAATTTACTCCCTCGCCTTGTAGATCTAACACGAGAGCCTGTGGCAATGAAAAATTATTTCTCATTTATAATACTGGAAAATCTTATTTCTAAAATCGATAATTTTCACAGTGGAAAAAAAATTTATGGAAAAACTGAAGTAAAATGGATTTTAAATAAAAATTTTATATACGATTATGATAAGAGACAACTTACCTTATCCATTGCTAAAGCAACACATGTGGGACTCAAAAGGGAAACTACCCAAAAAGCTATCGAGCTGGAATCATCAACGAAGACTTGAATGAAGTACACAAGACTTAGTATCGTTACGGCAAAATTTCCAAGAACACCTGCGGTCTATAAAAGAGGGGATGATGATTTACTTAAAAGTTTATAGCATCTTGCGATATGGAAGACAAGTATATGTATATATATGAATATACTTTGTACAATGTTAGTAAATCAGCTTACACGAGATTTGTCGAAGAAGGGTGTTATCATAAAAGCTATCATGATCACCGAGAAACTGTAAAGTACCACGAGCAAGAATATCGGTAGGAAATGTGTATGCTGGAACATTTGAAGTGTAAAAAGAAGCACAACTGCCACCGCTGATAGCAATAAAACAAATATTGCATAGATGATAAACCAAGATAACCTGCAATTAATTTTTAATAATGAAAAATTTAAACAAAAGAAAATAATAATAATGTAATATTATATCTTTGAGGTGGTGGCAATATGTTTAAAAATTTTTCTAAAAATTGAAAAATTAGGTCTCTTTTTTGAATAACTTTTTGCATCAATGAAATGGGTTTTGTTTATATAGGAGATTTTTGATTATCTTACCAAAAGACAGAATCCTTTAATCCCATGATTTTCATACCCTCCTTGATTTTATTTTCCTTCTCGCCGACTATCAGAATTAGGAGGTAGGTGATGAATTGAGACAGAGCAACTACCATATAGAGTGGAATTACCACCCTAAAAGCGAGCATCCAGTCTGTGAAAAGAAATCGTCATTTCTTACAATCCAATTTGTTTGTTAGAATATTTTATAGAAAGATTCTATTTTGTGAAGTTATTTTGTTCTAAGAAATTATAATTAATTCATTTGAATATGTATAATTATTGATAATAATTATTATTATTATTAATGTGTAATGATATTCATATCAAAAATAGAGATAATTCGCTTACCTGCAGTGAAAGCTTCCTTTGGAAACATTTCTAATTTTATACCAGGCACTGTTATTTCATTATTCTTCGTGTCTAACTGTAATGAGAAAATATAATTTTGCATCACATCATAGCTCGAATTTAAAATTCATAAAACTTGAAACAAACTTTTTAACATTGCATGATATTTAAATTAAATAATCAATATGTAGAAACGAAAAAAAAAATATATAGGTTCAACTTTTGTTTCAGTTAATGTTTTAATTAAATTTATTATCGTTGAGGTTTTTTTTTTACTTGAAATTAAATGCCAATAAAATATTTCTCTTGAGAGTGTATATGTGGGGGAAAAAATTTATAAGCAAATTACTCTAATTTTTGTAATGTCCATGATCATCTGCAAGGCCATAAATCCTGAGGTGAAGTAATTGTTTGCCGGGCAATTTCTGCCAGTTTCTATTGACAAAAGTCCACCCATCCAATGACTGAAATTTTTTCGACACGTTACGGGTGATGAATGTTTTTCTGCGGGAGATGGGGGCATTGTGTTCGTTGGATTTATTCTTATTTCATATCTGTAACAAATACCAGAAATATTAAATTTCATAGGTTTTTCAATTTTTTCAACAAATGAACAAAAATAAATATAAAAACTTAAAATTTTAATAATAATAATAAATAATAAATAAATAATTTTAAAGTTAAAGAAATATATATATTTTTTTAGTCTAAATGTTATTTTTACAATAGTATATAATGTATATATGTGGAATAAAACGACCATATAATTATACAATTTCGCGGTAAACCTAATCATCCTCAATTTATAATGTGCACTTTAGTAATTTCATTGTAAAGATATAGACAAACATATTTTCTATACGAGCGAGACAGAAAGGAAATGTTCAACAGTGGCTATGAATTTTATAGTAATTGGGTTAAGCATCGTCGCGCGATGTAATGATAGCGATAAGTTAGCATCTCTTTAGAGAGAGAAAGAGAGAGCGAATTTCAAAGAATAATTAACAACAGATGACGGAAATTGGTTTTCGATTTTCAAAATTTAGACTATTCAATAATAAATGTATGTACTTTTAAATTGATAATTTAATTTATACATTTAAAAATAATTATTTAAATTATAAAGGAAGTGTTCAGTCAGTTTCTAAATTTTTGTTATTTTATCAGTAGTAAAAGTAAATATTTAGTTAGACTTTTTACATCTTTGTAATTTTTATCAGTACACTCTAAATCTGAATCAGTGAAAATTTCACTGAATTCAAATCAGTGGCTCAGTTTTCTTTAATTCACCAGTGAAATTTCACTGGGAATCAGTAAAAACCACTGATTCTCAGTGAAATTCCACTGGTGAATTAAAGAAAACTGAGCCACTGATTTGAATTCAGTGAAATTTTCACTGATTCAGATTTAGAGTGTAGGTAGTATAAATCGGGTTTCGTCAGACATATCGTGTAATGTAGAAAACAGTAGTACATGTCAATATTTTAGATTTTTCTAAATTTACCAGTAGTATAAGTAAATATTTATCAGTAGAACAAGTCGGTTTTAGTCAGACATATAGTAACCGATTATTTAAATAAAATAATTTTTTTCAGAGTAGTACAAGTCTATTTTAGTAAGACAAAAATCTAATTTTTTATTATTATCATCTTACTATTATGTTTATTATTATAAATACCCAACTTTTGTGTATATTTTCTAAAATTTTAAAGTTTTTATACTCGAAAAGAAAATAAATTTACAATTTCTTAAACAAATAATAAACTTAGGAGTTTCGAAAACAATATCACAGAAAAGTTTATTCTAAAATAGGTCAGTTTACATTGTTTGAAAAAGTAGAAATTTCTTATAATATAATTTACGTGTATTTACATTTTTATATATGTTATTTTGTTATATTGTTTGGAAAAAAAAATTAAGGTTTAAAATTATTTATACTTACGATAAATTTTGAGATATTGGTGAGGAATGTTCGAAAATAACTGCTATAGGAACACTGGCAGGATCTCTCCAATAAGCTGCTTGTAGATCATCCTTCGTGTCGTACATCATAAAACTTAAAGGAAGTTTTCGATATTCCCACGTACTCATCCATAGGGTATTCATGGAATTTAAAAATGTCTGAAAACATATATTTGAATATTTTACTAAAATATATATTTTAATTTTTGTTCAATTGTTGAAATTTTTTTGAAAAAATTAATCTATCGATTTCCTATAATGTATAGGAAAAAAGTTTAACAATGAAAGTTTGTTTATTATTAAAATTAAAAGTTATTAAATACTTTTTGCATATAAAATAGTTGCCCTAGTTATTAATAAAGTGTCAGTAAATAAAGTTATTTTTCAGTGACTTATTTACTTTGTAAAAAGGAAGTTCTCTATTTTTATTAATGAGAATTAAGAAAACTAATTTTTTCATTAATATAATTAATTTTTCAATTATAATTAAATTTATTTCAAAAGAAGGATTTATTAGAAATATATATTCGAAATTGATATAGGTATAGTGGTAAATTTGTCATGTTTTAAAGATTCGTCAGGTGTAAAAAAAAATTTAAAACGTTTCTACCTGTGAAGAGCTTTTAATCTTAGTGAATCATTAAATGGCACTAAGCCAAATCTCTCGTTGTTAAATATTGGCAAAATTTTCGTATTTTAAGCTTAAAACATTTTTGTCTATAAATATAATATTTATTATTTAAAAACATTTTATTTGTTGTTCATTTTTCAAGTTCTTCTTTAATGTCACGTTCTAACTTTAGAATGTAATTTGTGTACATAACAACATTTTTTTAATATTTCTATGAAAATTAAAATCAGTTTTTTATTTCAAGATACCATATATCTAAATATATCTCAAATGGAATAAATTTTTTTAAATTGTGTTTTTTGTATCGTTTTGAGGGTAGAAACTTGTAGTAAAGGACTTCATTTGTTTAGAAAGAATATAAAAATAAAACCGGACGGTTTTACGTATATATGACCAGATCGATATAGTCACGAAAAGCACTTATAAAGTTTACGATTTTCCCCTAGCTCAAGAAGCTGCTACATACAGTCAAGTTTTCAAGTAAATGCGGTTCCGTTCCTTCTAATGGAAGCGTCCATTGCCCTTTTGCAAAAGTAACAAAATTTTATTTGAAAAATTGTTTAGGTAATTTCTGTACTGAATACAAATTCGTTTCAGTTATAAATTGTTAATTCTGAATTAAAATTTTGTTTTATGAAGTTTCTGATGGATAGAAATTAGGTGAATTAGGGAAGATTAAATTTTTCTGGTACTTACTTGAGTTTCATTTGAATTGGGAACAACTGCGATGGTTTTGTTGATATCAAAGAACTCGAAAACATCCCCTTCCTGCCTTTGAGTGGTCATTGCAGGATAATTCGGATTAGGAATTAGTACCTTAACCACAATTAAAATCCCCAGGATGTAAAGGGGTAGAAAGATCTCCTGTTACATAAAACATATTCAAAAAATTAATATTACACTAAATATAATAAAATAATCAGTTATATATAACAAAATTTAAAAATAATTTTTAAATTGTTTTCAAATAGAATATTTAATAAATCAAGAAATTTTGATGCATTTAACAGGCTTTCCAATGTCTGACCATATTTCTCTTGCACTACTTAAACTTCGATAAAAGAAGTATAGACAACTATTTATAGTTCTTACATTTATAATTAGTTTTACTATAAATAACAAATAAATACATTTTTATATTTATTTTATGTTTTACATTCTCATCAGAAAGTATAATTTTATTAGAGTATAATTTGATTTAAAAAAAAATGTTCCAAATGAAGCATAAATATTCCTCATATATTTCACTCATAATTTTTTATCGTTTTTTACAATTGTTCGTTTAATTGAGCTTATTTTAAATCTTAACGTATTGCTCCCAGTGGATATAAAAACATTGTTAACCATAAAAAACAGTTACCAGTAGACATATATATGTCTACTGTTTACTGAAACGTTACAAAACCATAAAAATCGAACAAGCCAATACATAACCATGTCTATATAAACGTACATACATTCGGCTACTAGCTTTCAACTGTTTACAGTTTTTATCCACTTTTATTAGATAAATAAAAAAAAATTTACACCAGGGATATTTAGTCATTTTCGTATATAAATTTACTTTTTAAATGTTTTTTTTTTTCAAAAGAAAATTTATAACATTATTTACATTTGCCGTTGACTAAAAATATTTGCTTTTCGTGAAACATTTTTCTCTCATGGAACGTAAAACGAGTATAAAGATGTCTTCCATTTGCGTTGCCTTAGTAATCAACAAACTTTTGCCTACCCAGTAAAATTCGATTTATCCGTCGTTGATAATTTACATTCAGTTGTCTTTCTTTGTCTGACAAAGTAAACAGAATTATTCAACATAATATAAATGCGAATTTTTCCTATCTTGTAAGTGTCTGTTGCAATATTCATATAGTGAAAGAAATAACTGTAAATATTCGCTTTTTTATCTTGTATTTTTTTAAACGCGAAAATCTCGAAAAAGGTATAGTGAAATTACGAATATTATGTTAATAATGATAATAATAATAATATTATTAATGGGTAATTATTGTATAAATTATTTTGATATTATTATTGTTTTTAATAATGCAATAATAATAAAATACTTATATGATAATAATTTTAGTTAACATTTTAATTTCATTATTATTGTACTTTGCATTAATTGTTATTATTACATTCCTGAAATTTGTTTTACAATCCATTTAAATAGATTGTTTTACTCATTTTATTTTTCGAATTTATTATTATTTATTTATTTATTTACATGTAAATAAGTTTATAGAAGAAAAAGTCTTAATTATTATTATTGTCATTATTATAGTTCGATTATTGCAACAATTTCTTTTTTATTTTTATGAAAAATAAAAAAAAAATAATATCATTTGTAGAGTATGAAAAGAGTATTTAAATAAAGGAAGATGTCTTTTTTCGTGGACGTTGTAACTGAAGATTCATTTTATGAAAATCTCATGTTGGGCGTGATGAAAATTTTGGAAAATAGTCCATGCGTGAAAAATGTTGAAATTGACATGAGAAGTCCTTGCGATAGAGTGGCACTTTCCACTTGGGAGCAAAGGCATTGTTGTAATTTACCTGAAGAAATGAGGAATTTTTATGCTTCTGTAGATGGATTTCTTTTAACTTGGAGTCTCGATATTTCAGGTATAATTAAACCTCGCTATATATATAACAATTTTCATTATAAATTTTGCTACATTTTAAAAAAAAATTAATTATTTTCTTGAGATGTAAAGAAATGTCGATAATAATTATCGTTTTTCGTTATTTCAACAAATTAAAGAAAATTCCAATTAAAATTAATTTAATATCAATTAAATTGAATAAAAATGTTAATAATTAATTAAATAATGGATTTCATTACATTAGAATAATTAAAGTAAAATGCATTTTAAAAAAAGTGTAAATTAAATTAAAAATGAATAGTCTAACTAAATTAAAATTTTTTCTGAAATGATGGAGGATATTTAATGAAATTCTTGGTCCCTTTCTTTTACTGTTGCTAAAGGGGAGGAATTTCCAGTGGGTAAAATGGAGGTTGGTGATCTTGCATCCCTAAAACGTTTTGTGGGCACTAAAGAACAGCAAACGACAGCAGAATCAAGTCGTCGTGATGGTCTTCAACTTCCTTCTTTTAGTCCTCGTTGCAAGCTCTTTGAAATTGGTCAATGTGGCGAAAGTAAAATTATTCTCGTTTATCAAATTACATCCGATCAATGTGAACCCGGAATATGGCTTTATCATGAAACTAAATGTCAATGGCACTTTATTACAAATAATTTCATCAATTATTTTCGTATGATGTTGGTACATCTTGGATTACCCTTGTGGCAATATTGCGTCGTTGGATTGTCATTGCCCACATGGGTGGAGCAAGTATTCTTTTTAGTTGGACCACATTTGCTGCCAATGACGGCAAAATTAAAAGAAACCATTTCAACAACCCTCTGGAATGATGGTCCAATCAATGTAATTGATCCGACAATTTTTAAGGGCAAGGAGAATAAACAGAGAATTTTGAAAAAGAAATAATGACATTTTAAGGTTATATAAGCGCAAAATGAGAAATTTCAATATGAATATTTGTGTGTAGAAAATAATTATTATTTAAGTCAATTATAAATGGTACTTGTTTCAAATACAGAAGTTATTGGTGCAAATACAGTTTATTTAATTCAATTATTTGGTTCAAGTAATCGATTAGTTGAATCAAATAATTTTTTTTTCAGTGTTTATACCATAGATTATAAATATTTACTTATATACGTTTATTTGAGTTAATAATTCATTAATCTTTTTGACGAATCCTTGGCCCAATTGGCACTGATTTTCGGGCAAAAAGTTTTATCAGTCAAATTTGTGAATCTTTTACACATAGGTTACTATTTGGCAAACAGTAGTTTTGGCCACGTGACAGATTATAATAGTCTATGCGTCGCTAGAGTTGAATTTTTTTTCCTTTCTTTTTTCTTCATCTAAACTTCTGCATTGTTATTGAAGAAAAATATAATCAATTTCAAAAATAACTAAAGTCTGTGAACCTGAAACTATTGTGTGCTATTTTACATTTTTCGTCTTGATTTTTTGCAGTAATTTTATTTTTATTAGCAAAATATTGATACCTTACTGATTGAACACTTGTTTCTTTATTTGTTTAGTGCTGGCGTACATTTTTCATTTGTACTTTAAACAAAAACTTTGAATCTATATTCAATTCGCTCATTAGATTTTTTTTCAATAGACCTTTTCTATTTTTGAGGTGCATTGATGAAATAGACGTTCATTAGAGAGCTTTGTACATTGGCATTTATCAAAGAAGTCATGTACTTTTTTATTGTCTTCATATTTGCATATTTGATCAAATTAATTATTTTATGTTTTGTTATTAAAATAAATGATTCTTATCATGTTATCATTAAAAAAATACATAGAACATTAATAAAGAGATGATTATAATCATAACGATAAATTGTCGACTTTAAGCTAATGCGGAATAATGTTAATTTATGATTTCGATGGAATGTATTGAAACTATTTCATTCAAGATTCACGTTTTTGGATTAAAGCCAATAATTGTTCGGGCACTGAATTGAGTATGTGTAATATGAGATGGAAGAAATTTTTGCAAGGATCATAAAGGAAGTTATTCACTTAGCAATAAGTAGCTGTGTTATTCCTCATAATTACTTTGTCACGCACAAGAACATACTATATAAAAATAAAATTGAATCTTTCCTACATCAAATCATTAAAATCAATTTAAATTAACTTTAACTAAATTCTATTTAAAAAATTATTTATATTAGCAAACTAAAAATAATTATTAATAGTTATTAGTTATAATAATAGTTTTATTTATTTATTAATTTATAATCAAATGGCATAAGCCAAGTTTTTCACATTAGATGATGAAGAGAAAAATAATTTTAGAATAAAAGATTTTTTATTTTGAAAAATCAGTTTTTATATTCACCAAGTAAAAATAGTAATCGTAAAAAACTTTGTGGTTCATTAAGCGTAAAAATTATAAAATTCCTGGGGTAATTAGCATTTTTCATTATTAGCAGTGAATGCGGGTATATACCGTTCTTGTTGCGATGCACGGACACCAATATCTGATAATCAATACTCTTTTTTCAAATATAAAACCTTTTCTTTGGTTTAGATTTTAAAAAGAGTATAATTATTGAATAGGAATGATAGTATACATATTTCAATCATTGCTTTCATAATTTATTTAAAATAGATATATATTTTCATTTATTTATAATATATATATATAATTTTATAATAAATTCTTCTATATCAATGAAGGGAAAAAATTGGTTCAATCTTTAGTTTGGTTTTATTCAATTTTTTTATATTGTAATTGATTATATCCTTTCGGTATATTTATAGTTTCGTTATATCATTGGAAAATTGATATTATTTTGAAAAAAGGAAAAATCTTACCGCAATTGTCTTTCGTTTATCCCTTTTCTTAAGAAGAACATTTCTGATCAGCATCGCACGCAGCTGAGACCAAAATACTCCGCAGCCCCCCATTCTGTCTCCGCTCCAGTTTTCTCAGTTTCTGTAATAAGAAAAAGAATTTCAATCTAAAATTACTCCCTTTTTACATTGATAGTGTGAAAATGAAGAAATTAAATAGAAATAAAAAATAGTGATAGCTTTATATGAATTTAATTCGCTTTTCTATTTTCATTGATGCATATTAATTACAACAAAAGAAAGTTAACTAAATTCTCTTTTGATTCTGTTTTTATAATATTGTAAAGTTTTGAGATTTAAAATGTATATTGAGGATCAAAATTTTAATTCGGGATTTGTCATCTTATTCACCTTTTAGTGTATATAGCACATTTCATGAAATTATATAATAAATATTCAAAGCTCAAATTTATTTCAACGTTTGAAAACAAATTAATGGCCTTTATAATTGAATTGTCGAATAAATCGTATATATAATACATTCCTCCCGTGAATACATTACATAATTTGTAACATATGTCTCTGGCATATATTACATATATTTTGTATTGTATTTTCACGGTAAAATTTCAAATATTAAATTTATCACTGACAATCATTATAAACATTGAGTGCAAATTTTCGAGTAAACCCAAAATACAAGAATATAAATTCATTTTGATATTGAAATTATAAAAATTATATTTTAATTATTTTGTCCTATATTTCTACATTAGATAACAAACATTTTAAACAAATCTTGTCTCGTTTCATTTGGGGAAACGAAATTTTCTCTCAAGATTTAAATTCGAGATAATTAAATAAAACATGAGAAGCGTGACAGAGCATGAAAGATAAATGATAATTATGAAACGATGTTAAATTCATATTCGCTATCCGCTTTTTTTTAAGAATCACTATGCCTCAAACTTGAATTTCATACCTTCTTGTGTACTGAAATGGGCACACAACAATCGATAACTTGCCATTTACACAACTCAACATTCGTGCACCGGTATAAAACTTAAGAACATGAGGGAGAAGGGTACACATTATGACATTTAAGGGCTGTATATAAATAGACGAAAACAGTATTTTTACATCAAAAAAATATTTTTTTGTTATTCCTCAATTGTAAAAATATTTAAAAATTATTTAATTTATTTAAAACTTTGGTATATTAATAGTCCATATGAAGATAAAAAAATTTTTAAATAATTTAATATCTTTTAATTTTTCACTGGTACGATTGAGAGAGAATGACCCGTATGAGATATAAATCTACACTGTCTAATATTTTTATCGCTGATACTTATATCACTGAATAACGCATCTTAATAGTATATAGTAATATATGCTATAACCATTTTTCTACTTTTCATTATACTTAATACGAGAATAACTACACAAAAAGTTTTAACTAACTTCTCAGATGATCATAGTTTCCGTTCTGTTCTATAGTATATCCTTCTTTTATATAGGAAAAATGTCTTATAAAAGTTCATTTATGATTACGGCTATAAAAAACTATCACTGTTATAATATATATTATAAAAAAATATATATTTACTTACATATAATGCAAAAGCTGCAAAATAACTTTTAAAAAAGCAGATGCATAAAATTTTTTAATCAAAAATGTGTGATTTTAATTAAAATCTTCAAAAGTTATATTATTTTCGAATGTTGAAAATTTTTTATTTGTACCAAATATAATTTATTTGAATTAGAATAGATTGGTGTAATTTTTATTAAATTCATAAATATTAAGGTTTTCGAATTTATAAAATATTTTTTAAATATAATTTCAATCATTCATTTCATCAAGTTAAAGTGCACTGCAGAACTGAGTTAATATGGATTAGTATTTTTTTTAAATCTCAGAAAGTAAAAATTTTATGTTAGCTTTATAATTTTTTTTTATCACTTTTGTGTATCATTTTTATTATTTTTGTTTTTAAAAACATTTCTCAGTTACATAAAAGATATATTTTTTAATTCTTATATAAAAGAAAGAAAAAATGTTTTTCTTTCTATATTATTTTGTATTATAAATTATAATATAATTATATTTTTATATTTAATTCAAATAAATTATATTTGGTCCAAATAAAAAATTTCTTTGGATGAAATTAAATGTTTAAAAAAAAGATTATCCTTTTTTTCCCGTGTGGAATTTTAAAAAGATTGAAAACATTTTCCTGAGTTTATAAATGATCGATGGAGGGGCGTGTTTATGAAAAAGGGAAATTGAGGAAACTTACTTCCTTTAGGCTGTAGATAGATAACGCGATGGGCCTCTAATTAATCGAGGCACCGTGCTGAATCTGTCCTGCTGTTAATGCTGTTGCTGGTGTCGTTTTAATTAATCATAACTCACATAACCTCCTATGGTACCGACGACACCACGAGGAGCGCACTCGGAACGTTTTTGTGCACTTTTATTGGCGCGTCGTGTCATCATTATGCAAATTATAGGCACTCTTACACTTTTTTCACTACTTTTTTTTTTTTTTAATTTCAATTATTTTTCTTTCTATTTCACAGCCAAATTTTTGGGAATACACTTTTTATTATTTAAAACATTTAACGATCATGTATTTTTTTACGCATTATCGTTTTAGTTCTATTAACATTGAGGCACCCAAATTGTTTAGACTCCAACCAAATAGTCCTCTCGATTCCACCTGTAAACAAATTTTGATTTTTTTCATTAAAATTACATAATTTATAGATATAAATTAATTCTATATATTTTATTTTTATTCGATATTAGAAATGAAAAATTATTATGGGGTAATATTACCCAATGTGGAGTAATATTGCTCAAACATTGATTGTTATTTGACAGTGTCTTTTTTTTGTTTGTTAAATCTCTCAATATATGAATTCTTTTTCTTATTACTTTTATAAAGACAATAAAAGATTAAATATTTTTCGTAAAATATGTATTATATATATCTATTTAAACATAATAAAACTTTGTGGCTAATTATAGTATTTTTTATGGGAGGTTAACGCCCTTTGTGTAAATTTCAAGGAAATAACCCTAATGTCTAGTTCAAATATAGAAATGGAGGGTATAGGACACGCACTTTCACTTTTAAAGGGTTGGGGTTAAATCAACTTTTAAGGTCATTATGGTACCTACACAATTACACATATGGACACACAGTTTCTTAATTTGACGATACAAATTTATTTCATAATCGATATTCTAGGCTAGGCATATATATAAATATTTGCAAATATGTTTCTGAACAAATATCAGTTATTTCTGTTTTAGCACATTTCAACATTTCTTTAGAATTAAAAAAAATATTCTGTAAATTAAACAATATTTTCTTTGAAATTATAAAATAATTTTTAAAAAGTAATTTTTTTTTTAATTAAAAGAATTCTTTCTGGGGTGTAACATTTAATTAAAAAATTAAAGTAATCATACTGTAATTAAGTATAATGAAAATTGTATTATATTATAGTTAAAAAAAGAAATATTTGCAAAAAGTTATATCTGTTAATTCTCTGACTAATTGTTGCAAATTATAAATGAAAAGAATGAGTAAACATTTTAGTGATTCAAAAAGAGAAGAATAATTAGGAACTTAATTTTCACAGTTATGCTTATGACACAAGTAAAAGAATTAATATTTCTATGTTGGAATTGCTCTGTTTTCACAACCCAATTTCTAAGTACTAAAATAGAAAGTTAGAGTTTATGTACATTTACAGAAAGGCTTGAAAGAAATATTATTTTCTTTTATGAAAATATAGAGGATATTAAATATTAAAGATAGTCTTTTGAGACCAGTTAGTGAACTCTTCATAGTACAAATATATATATATATATATAAAGCATTGTCTAGATATAAAACCTTTTTTTTTTAATTTACGTTCATCTCGACGTTCATTATTTTCATTAGAGCTATATGGTGCGGAAAAAGTTTAAAAAATAAATAAGAGGGAAAAATAAAAATTTTTGTAACATGATATTGGTTGAAATTTGATTAAAATTTTCAAAATTTAATGAATGTATTGTATTGATCACATAATATTATTGGATTTCGTTCAATTTTAGAATAACTTAGAAAAAATTTAAGCTTACTTTAAAATTTTAATTAATTATTATTGTAGACTAACTTGATAAATTAAACATTATATGGAAAACTTAATTGTTACTAAAACTATTTACATAATAGTTATTTTTAAACTTAAACTTTTACTATACTATCGGTCAATTCACCTTTGATAAATAAGTAAAATGTCATTTTATATTAAAATCGACTTTAAATGGCATATTAATGTTTATAAAATAATATAAAGTAATACGTATTAAAGAAATTATTGAATAATAATTGTAAAATTGTTAATATTTAAATATATAACAAACTTTCGTTTAAATTGTAAAAATAACTAATTTTAGGTTTTGTAAAAATAGGTGAAATTATAAGGCTATTAATTAATTCAATTCATTAGATTCAATAATTTATTTAGTTATTAATTAATATAATAAAAAGTCAGTTAAAATTTTACTGCGGAAATTTAATTATTTTTAACTAATTCAGATTTATAGAGAGAGAGTTATATTGTATTGAATAAATTGTTTATATATAGATTTTGTAAGCAATTTTCGTTTGACTTTTAAATTTATCGTTACCATAAAGTCTTAATTGAATTGGAGTCAATTAAAATTTACTTTTATAACAATTCATCGTCGCAGAGTGTTTATATTTCCTGAATTATAAGTACAATCAGAGTTTGAATATTGATTATTTTAGTTTTTTATTAGCTTTTTTTAGAAAAGTTTAATGTTATTCTATTCATTCTGATATTTTTAAGAGGATAAAATCATTTTTTTCATACCTAGTGTGAAAAAAAAATTATTCACTATAATATTGAATTGAATTTAAATGTTTTCTTTATTTAAAAAAATTGACAATTTTACGTAACCCAAAGTAAATATATTTACATTTCATAAGTAACTATAAGTACTTTTTTAAATGAAGAAAAATAATTATTAATATGCAATAATAAGTGGATAATTTTTTTTCGCAGTGAGAAGAGTGTTTATAACAGTTGTATATAAAGTTTACAATAACAATTGAAATGTATATATGTGAATATAAGTTTTCTGATGATGTATATGAATAGAATGTATACTGTATTTTGAGAGCTAGATATATATGTATATTAAAATGACGGATTAAACTTTGCCTTGGTTTATAGAAACTCAGCTCGTTTGAGTTGGTTCATGCTGGAAGGAACAGTCGATTGGTTTATGCTTGAATAGATATTTTCACCGGACGCCACACTGTCTGATACAACCTAACATAGGGAGGGGGAGGGTGAAAGCTCGCCTTTACTACTGACAGAGTTCTCTCATCTCTTATTTCTAAAAAAATTTACAATCGATTTTTTAAACTTGTTCTAAAATGATTTTAGTTGACATTCAAAAGCTCTTTAATTTTTTTTTTATATCGTTCGAGTTCAGAAAAACAAATGTTATTAAAGTTATTTTCATTTATTTATAGCAATACATTTATTTGGTTGATTCAACTAAAATTTGTTTATTTAAAACAAACTTTTTTCTAAGTGATAATGATTTGTTTTTAATCATAAATTAATTATAAATTAACAATTTAATACTTAGTAATATTAATAGTAAATTGATTATTGTTGCTTAAATTTAAAATATATTCTTGGCACCTATTTTAAAATATTTTATACTTACATTAAGCATGTAATATTCTAATTTTAAAAATATTCCATACGGAATTTAAGTATAAAATATTCTAAAATCCAAGTATAATTTCAGAATGTTTTTTTTGTGAATAGCTTACTCTGTAATCCCAAAAGAAAAAAATTTCATCCTATATTGAAGATTCGATTAAAGAAAGATTTAAGATTAGAAATAATTTGAAACGAAAAAAATGTAAATCACTAAAACCACAGCAACTATTCATAATTTGAATCATAATTGAAATTTACAATTCCTTCACATTTTTCATTAGAATTAATAGTCAATTTTACATGATATATATTTATTTTAGAAGAAAAATATCATTATTTATGCGCTTAAAATCTGGATTTTTCGTGTGTCCATATATATATATAAAATCCGGCAAATACTGGCGAAGGTTCCTCTCTCGGAGAAGTGCGCGGCTCGCGTGGCGATCGATCAGCCGAATTACTGGCAGTACTCAATTCCAAGTTATATAGTTTTGTCGCACTGACCCCGGAAAAATCAAGATTTAATCGGACTTTTTGTCCTAGATTTTAAAATGCTTCATTTTCTCGGTAGTGAAAATTGCAACAAATTTATGTATATATATATATATTTATATATATTTCTATACACTGACACATTCTCTCTGTATATATATAAAGGGTCACGTCCTCTCAGAGTTTAAAATCGATTTCACTCAGCCTAGCGGTATAACTAAACTATATAAAATATGATTTTTTTTAAAAAAAGAAAAGAAAATTCACCTTTTTGTTTGCCCTCCACGTCAAATTGTGTATTTTTAAATTTTCCCAATGAATAAATTTGACACTTGAAACACCTTTGAGTCACGGCACTTGCTCGACACGACATTCGACTTTCGACATTCCTCGGCGACTCTCCCTTATCTGATTGTTATAAAGATTGTCGTGAATTTTGTACGACGATAATCAGATGCAGTTTTGAGAGGGTGCAAGGCGTGTGATGTAGAGGTAAAAAAAAATGAGAGGGAGAGAGAGAAAAAGAAAGTTGTGTGTGTATGTGTGTGTAAAAGAGCGCGCGGCGAGAGAGAGAGAAAGAGGGAGAGAAAAGAAGTTAAAAAATCGTGGAATCCACGAGATCCGCATACGTTGACTAACGACGCCAGACTGTAGCACCGTACTTTGCAAAGGGCGACTATCAGCCATGCGTCTGCGTCGTCGCGACGACGACGACGACGACGTCGGTGACGGTGGCCACAACCGCGTCGACGATGACGAACAACGCAAAGGGTGGCACGCGCTCTTTTTTTCATCCCCCCTTTTATATATATATATTTGAATTTCCTCCTCTTCCTTCCTCTTTTTTATTTTCATCCCTAGGGTGAGTTGAAAAAAAGTAAATATATGATATAGGGCTTTTCATTTTTTTTCAAGTGTTATTAAGTCATTGAATCATTTTTTCCCTTGTTGATTTCATTTAAATTTCTGTAAATAAAATTTTATCCGGATTAAATGGTTATCTCTGATGTTCTTTTTTTATTATTGAGGGAAAGGAATATTAAAAAATGAATAAAACTAAAAAAAGATATATTCTAAATTTTAGAATGTTTTCTTTCGGCGTATAACAATCCATTTCTCTTAGGAATTTGAAATTCTGGAAGTTTATAAAGGATTATATTTTCTATTTGGAAATTTTTTCTTTATATGAAATTGTATTCCATGGTTCGAGATCATTTAAAAATAGTGGAAGTTTTGTTATATTTTTCTTATTTGCCCTTTGGGATTTTTGATAATTACAGAGTGCGCCTTGTAATTTTGCAAAATTATAGCAAAAGTATTTGTTACCACTGAGTCGTTAGGAACCATTATATAATAGTCTCGAGTGCCCAATAAACACAGAATAAAATATAATATTAAATTACAGAACGGAAAATAGTTATTCATAGTTATATTCTTAGAAAAAGGTAGGGTTATTTTATAATATTTCCTCTTAATTTATCGAGATTAGCTCATTCAGTCATTATGTCAAAAATGATAATTTTTAAGAAAAAAAAAAATATTCCCAGATAATAAAGTATTCTTGTTATAGTGAAAATGACTTAGGTACTATACTTTTTTTTCGTACACGTCAGTAAATACTTCACGTGAGAGCTTTTCTAATCTGGAAGTAGAGCACGAAAAAGGTCGTCGGATTGCCTTCTTCCGGAAATGCGCAATTTTCTTTTTCCGATGGATTTTTAAGACCATACCATATACAATACCTGGGGTTAAAGTGGCAAAAGTGACGCGTAGAGATTTACTATTGTTGAACGTGACTAGATTTTGAAAATTTTCTAATGAAGGTGTTTCTTTATACCTACATAAACTTGTCAATAATTTTTCTTTTGCTTTCATTTTCAATAATAGATTTTCAATATATTGCGGAACAATTTTTATTCCATTTCAACGACTCTAGCAATATTTATATAAAAATCCCTTTTTATATGCATTTTTAAATTCACATTCGAACAGAGCTTTTTGTTAAACTCTTTTTTGTAAAAGAGAGAGAGAGAGAGATTTAAAAACTTTTTCCTAAAATTGTTGCCATTCATTTTTTTTTATTTATTTTTAACAATCATTTCTTGTTTTAAATTTTTTTCAAAAAAATTCAAATTCATTGTAAAAGTGCAATTGTATTTTAGAAATATAAAAAATACAATAGAGTCATCATGTTTAATCCACAGCGCGCGACATCGATACTTTTAGTTTGTAAAAAAAAACAGAAGTACTTTTTCCGGTTATAACTGGATTAGAGTTGTAAGCAACCATATGGTACATATATCTAATAGGAAGCCAAATCAATTTTCTTCATGCTGACACATCAATACACCACGTCAATCAATAACCTGTACGTTTTATTCGAAAACGTGAAAAAATGATTAAATATATAGCTTTTTAAGCCTGAAAAGTAATCCAATAACAATGTTGATTGTTATAGTGGATAATGTTATTTAGATTAAAAAATTATTATTATTAAATTAATTATCTTGAAAACTAATATGAGTTATATACCTACCGCAGAGTAATTAAACTTTTATTATTCTTATTAAAACATTTTATAAATTGTTTGCTATAAATTTCAATTACTTATAGTGGAAAATCTAATAAAAGCGAGGTTCAACTATTAGTGTGATGTAACGTCAAGAATACACTACTTCGACTAAATATCTGAGAATTAGGTGTCGACTAGTGCCAGACTATTTTCATCATCACTTTACACGATTGAAGCTCTCTAAACTAATTTTAAAGTTTTTTTTTATCTAGTTTATATTCTAAACAGAAATTTAATTAGAGTGTAATAATTTTAATTATCATTCGATTATAGTAAACTATTGAAACAATTTTATTTGCGGTTTAAATGATTTTATAAAGTAGAATTTATAGATTGAACTTTAGTATTTTTTTATATATCTATTTTGTTTGTAATAAATAAAAAAATAATTCTATTTATTTTCTGCCAAAGAGGATTTATTGATAATCCTTTCGTAACGGCAAACTCGATGTATGGGCGCGACAAAAGCATGAGAAATCTTTTGTCAATGTCATCAATATACAGGATGATTTTTATGTAAAATCCTTTTGTTTTTTTGCATTTCAAAATTAGAGAATGTTACAAAGTTTATATTTCATTACATTAGAATTTAATTTTAATAAAAATTAGAATAATAATTAAAGAAATAAAACTAAAGCATTTTTTACCACGTGTTAATAAATAAAACGTTTATCAATTTCCTCTGTGACAATACCAGACGATTCTGTCATTGAAAACAAAGAAAATGTTTTCAACAGTTTGTTATTACATTCTTTATGTTATTTATCTACAGGTATCATTGTCTTATATAAGATAGTGTAGTTTTTATATCTTTTGATATAGTGATTAAGTACATACCTAAAATTAATTAAACCAAATATTCATTTTATAATTTGTTTATTTGTTTAAATGTTTACTTTAGTTTATAAATCTAAATCATTATATTTTTTGTTCCATAGTTTTAGGTAAATTTGAATAAAAAAAATGAAGGGATTTTAATATTTGCTCCCTTATGTGAAACAATAGAGCAAAAATTAAAATGGTGTCGCTTTTGCCTCAAGTTCTTCAGGGGATAAATATCGTAGCCATAGATATAGGTAATGAAAGGTGACGCTTCACGAGGTGGCACTAATTCCAATCTGGTATCGAGTGTATTTCTTATATTATTATACAGAGAAAAGCGCCACTTTTTTCTTTTCTCGATATATATATATACCACGTGTATTTCTCATGACGTACGTTTTTTTATTCATGAAACGGAAATCCTGCCTCTCTATGACGTAATGGAAATTTGTATATATGTATACGCACATAAACGACGAAAGGAAAAATTGCAATTTTATTAAATTTTCTACACTGTAAAATTTTCTCTCTGCTCGGGTATCAAATGAGAAAAAGTAGAATATTCAGAGGAAAAATCTTCACTCTTTTGTTCAGGTTCTTCTTCACATTGACATCCGACTTGTATATCTAAATATATATATATAAGAGAAAATTTGTTTGCAAATCAAATCTAAAATATTTTTCCATATTCACACTGGGAAATTTTGAAATATTTAAATATTTCTTTTTTTCGAGAACAAATAATAAAGAAGTTTTAGAATTTATCTGAAAACACTTTTAATTTTTTAATGAAAAAGTTTGTAACATCAACTCTTTTATATATATAAACTCAAAATATCGTCTATACAATGACTTATCCAATTTTTAGGTCATATGCTTGAGAACAATCCGTTGTCAGATTAGCTTGTATGCTTCCTTTACCTGTCAAGTTTGCTATTAGCGAGACGTGGAGTAAAACTATTACAATAGATATATAGATAGACTTTCGACCTGTGTCGGTTCTGGGTTTATTAGCAAATGGAATATCAATACAGCCAAGAATGTTAACATGTATACAGTTTTATTTCTTATGTTATAATTGTATGGTATTTTAATAATCGAATTATATTAATTAATGTTTTTCTTTTTCTGTTTCAGGTAAGAGATTCTATTTTATCTGGATGACAATATTGTGCGATTGAAATAAAGGTATTTAATATGAAACACTTTTTTTTATTATAAATTTCTGCTCTCTAAATTAAAGAAATTTTTTTTAGTACGAAAAACTGTATTTTTTAAAGGAACTTGACATATAAAATAAGTCAGTTTGTGAGAAATCGATAACTTTATTTAACTGATGTTTACTTTAATACACAATTTGTCAGATATATTTCGTTACAGTGGAGATATTGATTAATAGATATATAAATCGCACTACCAAACCCCTTTTTTCACGTGATAATGGATTAGTTCTTTTGACACTGACACGCAAGATATTTTTTTTTTTTTTTTATTGTCTATTGAAAATTATAAGGGTGGCATATATGTATCATTTTTCTTGATATTTTTCTATACATTCGATTTGTTGATGAAATTAGAGATTCTCATAAGAGCATATTAAATACCAATTTGCTTTTTCTCGCCCTTGATTTTTATTATAGAACACGCGACCATGGCAAAAAATATTTCCCAAATGAGAAATTTTATTTTCTTGAGTCTCACATCATTAATAAGAAGGATAACGCGGGTGTAACCCTTTGCGAAGTCACGATGTCAGAATTCTGAGGTCATGCATGACTGAATCGAATGCCAAGCCTTTTTTTCTCATTGAAAACAAAAATTTAATTCTTTTCGAATATATTTCTATTACCTGATAATTTTTTAATATATATATTGTTTATAGCTGTGAAAAAAAGTTCTTCAAAAAATATATATACCAGAACAGTCATAAGAGAAGATATTTTCAATCTATCAAGAGTTGATAACTTTTTTCTTACTTTGTTTTTCTTTTTCTCGCTTTTGACAGAGGCTTTTGCATTTTTTATCAATTTGAAACTTATTACTTGGAAATACTTTTTGCAATAGTAAAAAATGTATATATTATAAAAGTTTCTTCTTTAATTTTCTGTTTATTTTTCTTTACATTTATATAATGTAATAGGATGAGTTTAGATGAAACATTTATAATTGAGAATCTGTCAGTGATTATGTATGACATATACCGGAAAGAAAAACATAAAAATGGAACAAAAATGTATTAAAATAATATAATTCTTGTTACAAAAGTTTTTGTAAATTTAAAATTTAATTGAACAAATTTTATTGCATATCTTTTTTTTATTTTGTTGAAATTTTTATTATACTTGGATAAGATATAATTTTTTTTTAACAAATTTTATGTAAAATGAATAATAAAAAAAGAAAATTATTACAAAAACGTTTTTGAGATAAATTTTAAGACTTGAACAATATAAAAAATTATAACATCTTTTTTCTAAGTATGACTCACGCATTTGTTAGATAAGTATTAGTTTTATGAAAACTAAGTCATAAAATTGAAAAAAATATTAAAAATAAATTACACATTTTTAAAATATGAATTTTTAAATTGTAGATTTTATTAAATTAAAATTTTCGTAATTAACAATGATTATCTTAATTAATAAATTATTTCAATTATCATTTTATTATTTATAGTAATTACTATTAATTAATAACAAATAAATATTTTTTTAGCTTCTGAGACAAATATATTTTTTCTTTGGGTATGTTGTTTTATATAAATTTTATTTTATATTGAAAATAATAATTTATTAAACGTTGTTTCTGTTGCGGAAATGAAATTCCTCATTAACTCTATATATAATATTATATATAGTTGTTTGATGACATGATTGTGGAGTTCACAACCATCTCAATAGTATAATTTATATATAGTGTAGTACCTACTCTAGCATTGCAGTTCCAACCACAAGTAGATATTATGTAGTCTTAGTGGTAATCTCTCTCGCAATTAATCTTACAATAAACAAAAACGTTATTTTAAAAGAAAAATTGTTAAAAATAATTGAACATCAGCAATAATTAATTTAAAATATGATTATTATGTAATATAAATAATTTTATGTGTAGAAATGTTAAAAATTTTATATACCTGCATATATATTATAAAATTATTATATTTTATATTATATAAAATTATTCACATTACATATAATCATATTTTAAATTAAATCTTCAATTATTTTTAATCATTTTTCTTTTAAAACATATCGTTTTTGTTTATTGTAAAATTAATTGCGAGAGATTACTACTAAGACTAGGTAATATTATGTTATATTATTAATTTAATTAGATTATTCCCTAAAATATAAATTAATTATATTAGGTCAATTATATTGATTACATACTCAGAATGTAGACATTAAATATTTTGGGGGCGTAACACTTTGTTGAGAGATTCAAATATTGTTTCTTAGCAAGTTTCAACAAGCCTTCGATAGCTCAGTTGGTAGAGCGGTGGACTGTAGTTGGTATTTAAATAATGGTAATCCATAGGTCGCTGGTTCAAATCCGGCTCGAAGGAATTTTTTTAAAAATTTTTTTATTAACAATTTTTAGTTTCAATTTTTAGTATTAAAATTTTCTATTTTATATAATATTTATGCTCAACAATGTTTTTTTTTCGTACACGAATCATTCTTTGATCTCTGTATTTTAAATACCTCTAATTAACATTAATCTTAATTTTTAAATTAATTGCTCTTTTTTCTTAATAAAAATTGAAAAAATAATAAAATTGTTATATATAAATGACAATGATTAGTTTTAGTAAAACTGGATCCATATTTCTTTGCGTGTACACATTATAATGAGAACTTAGGGGGTAAATGATGACTTGAGTCCCTTTACTGGGTTTGTTCCCTGCATTATTTAACCCTTGGCGTCTGATTGTCTGTTAAGGGGAACTTCGATATTTTATATATATATATTACTTTCCTGTCGTTATTGGTTTCCATAAAAAATTCTCTTTTACGGAGTATATTCATTATTTTTTTATTATCCCAAAAATTCGGTTTCTTTAAAATTTTTTTTTAATTAAAAAATAAAACATAAATTTTCATATATAACATATCTTACTTGTTATATTATATTATTATTATTAATTTTATTTGTTAATTAATTATTAATTATTAATTAAATGTTAATTGTACTGAGAAAAAAATTTATTTAATTCAAATATATTTTTTTTCTGTGTATACTATTTTTATTAAAAATATGTTAATTAGTATTTAGTAATTTTAATATTTTCGTTTTTATATTAAAGTTACTTAATTATAATTAAATTACATATTTAAAGTAAAAGGATTTAATTATTAATTATATTGGGAAAAAAAAATTTTTTGTTTTGATTGACATTTGTTACAGCAGCTAAAACTTGAATAATTTGATATAATAAATTATCTACTTAGGAATTAATTAGAAATGCTAAACTGTAAATAGTGCAAATTCTGTTGAAGTTGTGATATAAGAAAATAGCTCTTGACAAGTTCGCGGGTTAAATCTCTTCATTGTTATGTTAATCAGGACATACCTTTCAGCGTATTCTCTGATATTAAAAAGAAAACTTTAATTCAAATTCAATTAAACTCTACTTATTTAATTCTCAATTTTAAATTATTTTTTCTAATTAATTAATTATCATTATAATTACTCTTATTATCGTCATCATTGTTATCCTCATTATAATGCTTAAAACTCATAAAAGAACTTTTTAAGTTTAAAAAAATGATTTTTTAATGTTGTGAATCAAAAACAATTAAAACTAAATTTATAAAAATGTTAAAAAAATAATTTTCGACCGTGACAGGACTCGAACCTGCAATCTTCGGATCCGAAGTCCGACGCCTTATCCATTAGGCCACACGGTCAGTTGAAAGATTCTTCTATCAAACCGTATTCAAATAAAAATTAAAGTTTTAAAAAAAAAATGTTTCGATTTTCTAATAATATTGAAAATTTACATTAATTATAAATAATTTTGAATAACTAAAAAAATATTTTATTGATTAATTAGTATTTGATTGAAAAATATTCTTTATAATTAAATTGATAAAACAGAAATTTTACAAATTGTATACCGACGGTCGATAAATTTATCTCTTGTCGGTCATAAATTATTCTACCTTATTGACAACGTTTTAAAGATTTTAAATTTTTATAAACTTATAGGTTAATTTATTTCTTTTTAATTAAAAATATATAACTTGATTTGACAAATTGAACTAGAAATTTGGTAAATAAATATTAATAGCTAAAAATTTATTGAATTAAAGGAAAATAAAATGTATAAGTATAAAAAGAGAAAAGTATGTTGTTCTTACCTTGGATGAAGTCGTAGATGTTCTTTAATCGAATAGGGATTAACGTTGAGATAAAATTAATGTTATCTATTGTAGACATTACTATTAAACTATCTTTAATGATTCATCACTCTATTTTCAGATAATAGTAGATTAATGTTGATAAATAAACATTGTGAATCACAGTCCATTAGAATACTGTCACTTTGCACAATGTTGTAGAGGGCAGCACAATTTTAATTTTATTTTTCCGGTTTATTACTCATGTTTTTGTCATATAATTTTTCAAAACAGAGACTTTTGATGTTATTTTTTTATTTAAGGTATAATTATTATTTTTATTTTTAACGCGTAATCTATAAAATGAACGTATATTTACTGTGTAAATATTCAAGGTCAAATATTTTTTTTTTGACAGTTCCTTCTCGTAGTGTTTTAAACGTCATTTATTTTCAAAAATCATTTACAGAAAAATAGATATGTGTTTATGATATTTGTGTATATATTAGTGTAAAAAAAGTGTGTGAAGAAGATTTTGTTCAACAACAAAAAGATTAAGCAAATGAGGAAAATGAAAAAAAGTGATGACACTTGGACCTAACCTAAAATGTCAAATTTTTTTATTTGAATAATTTTTTTATTTTTATGTCACTTTTGACGTTGTAGATAAATTACGAAGGATTTTTTGCTTTAATTTACACTCTTTTACAATATTTTGTGCTTCTAAAAAATACAAACAATGGAAAAAGAAAGGTATGTGAAATAATTATATGTATTTTGTGAAAATGTGAATATTTTAACTTTTATTTTATATTTTATTTGTAGATTTACAATGCTTCTCCTAGAACCAGGAGAAATATTTTTTGAAGATTATAGTGCCCAAATGAGATTTCACGATTCTTTGGATTCAATAAAAAATAATGAATGGATTGAAGGAAGATTGAAAGTTTGTTCAAAATCTTTAGTATTTGTAAATAAAGATATTACTCAACCGTTGATTAAAATTCAATTAAAAGAAACAACATCTGCTGAGATTTCTAATTCTAGTAGTACAATATCAGGGTGAGTTGAATAAAAAAAATAGCTTTTTAAATTGTTTATGTTGTATGATTTTTATTTTTCTCTTTTCTTGTTGTAGATCTAACAGTTTGTCAATTGAGTGTAAATCTTTTGTTAAAATGTTGGAAGGAAATGTATTGGCACCTTATAAATTTATTCATGAAAAAACTTGCTTTCAATTTAATTTCAATTATGCCAATGTTGAGGATTGTCTTGCACAAATATTGCAATTATTGAGAGCCGCTAGTCTCCCAACAGCTGAACAAAATTCAATGGTTGTTGTACTATTATATTAATTTTTTTTATGAATAATTCTAATTATTTTAATTTAATAATTGTTGCCTATCTTTTAATATTGAAATTTGTTTTTGATTGTAAGATAATGGCAATAGTTCATTCAAGACAATCTCGTGTTTCTTTCGACACTTCATGGCTTGAAGATCTTTATGAAGAAGTTGTTATTGAAGTGCAAGCTAATAAAGTTTTGCCACTCGTGATCAATCCAGGAAGGGTTTTACTCACAAATAGTCGAATATATTTTCAGCCTTATAATAATATGGATCAGGTAAGAATTTTATAATTAATTCAGGATTTTCAAAAAGAACTAATTTGTTTTTTAATTTTTTTTAGCATCCAGTTTTAAAAATTCAACTCAAGGACATTAAGAATGTGATAAAAAGGAGATTTCTCCTACGTCAAGTGGTAGGACTTTGAATTTACAATAAAATATTTTTTAATGTATATTTATTGAATTTTAATTGTTACATAATTTGATTAATATATTGCTTTTTTAGGGACTCGAAATTAAATGGACAAAAGTGGCAGAAGGGAAGCCGGAATATTTATTTTTATCGCTAAGTAATCAAGAGGATAGAGATAATTTATATTCTAATTTACTAAAACAATCTCAAGTTAATTTGGAGACAATTCCGCAAAATCAGATGACAATGCAATGGCAAAATGGAATTATATCTAATTATGATTATCTACTTTATATTAATAGGTAATAATTAAAATAAAAAAAATTGTTTGCTGAATAATTTAAATAATTTTTGAAATCATTAAATGTATTTATTTTTTAAGTTATTTTTAAATGAAGTTGAAAATTTTTATTTTAGTTTGGCGGATCGCACATTTCATGACTTAACGCAATATCCTGTGATGCCTTGGATAATCAATGATTATACTTCCGATACTTTAGATTTAAATGATCCTAATATCTATCGAGATTTGAGTAAACCAATTGGAGCTTTAGAACCCCAACGATTGGAAAGGTTGAAGGTAAAATAATTAATTGAAAATAATTTAATGAAACATTATTGAATAAATAAAAAAAGAATTTTTATTCAGGAAAGATATGATGAAATGTCGGAACCGAAATTTCTCTATGGATCGCATTATAGTGCGCCTGGATTTGTGTTATTTTATCTCGTGAGAAAATATCCTCAATATATGTTGTGTCTTCAAAATGGAAGATTCGATCATGCAGATAGAATGTTCAATTGGTAATATTGTTTTTTTTTTAATTATTTTAATAATTTTAATTATATAATGAATTCTAACAGAAATGATTTTTTTTCACAGTGTGTCTGACGTTTGGAGAAATGTTATGGTAAATATGTCAGATTTCAAAGAAGTAATTCCGTCATTTTATGATATATCAAACAAAGGCGATTTTTTAATAAATGGATATGGTATTGATTTTGGATATCGACACGATGGAACGAAAGTTGGAGACGTTGTTCTCCCACCTTGGGCTGAAGGTTTGACATTTAGTTATTAGTTAGTTATTAATTATTATTATTTAATTAAATAAATAATTTAATTAATTTAAATTATTTTTTTAGGTCCTTCAGATTTTGTACATAAATTACGCAGCGCATTGGAGAGTAATTGGGTTTCGGAAAATTTACATAATTGGATTGATTTGATTTTTGGTTACAAGCAAAGGGGAGAAGAAGCGGAAAAGGCTAATAATGGTAATTATATTACATCTTTACGAGTAAAATTTACCATAATTAATATAATTAATAATTAATTAAATAATATAAATATTTGTAATTTTAATTACAATTTTCTTCTTTTTTTCCAGTGTTCTTTCATTTATGTTACGAAGGAGCTGTGGATTTAGATACGATTCGCGACGCAAACGATCGGCATGGAATTGAAGTGCAAATTATGGAATTTGGACAGGTTCCTAAACAAGTTTTTACATTGCCACATCCAAAACGACAAATTTCACATGATTTTATTCGGTCTGAAACTATTTTAACTCTTCCTAAATGCACATCGAACGGTAAGAAGATCTAGTCTTTAATGTAAGATACAAAATATTTAAATTTATTAACTAATTGAGGTTCATTTTTTTTTCACAGAAAAGGAGAATAATGAAATTTTATTAAAAGAATCTATGAATTTTCAATCACATAAGGAAGGAGTTAATTGTGTTATTGTTTTAAAAGAAGGCACGAATTCAAATGATATTGTTTCAGTGGGATGCGATGGAAATTTGAAATTTTATTCTATAAATTCGCAAAAATTAACTAGAAGTGTTACTGTTTCTTTGCTACCTTTATCAGCATGCATATCATATCAAATTTCTTCTCAATGTAATGTTATTGTTATTGGTTCATGGGACAATAATTTGTGAGTTAAAAATTGAAAAAGAAAATATTAATATAATATAATGATAATAATAATATTGATGATTTTCAGAGTATTTTATGATGTCGAATTTGGTAAAGTGATAGATACATTATTAGGACATGAGGATGCAATTTCTTGTCTAGCTTATAGTTCGAAATATAATGTTATTATTTCCGGTTCATGGGACTGTACGGTAAAAATTTGGCGAAGTTACACTTCTGGTACGAAAATAAAAGTTGCTGAGTGTTTTGTTGCTCAACTCGATCACGATTGTAAAGTAACTTGTGTTAATTTATCTAGGTAACAAATATATTTTCCCTTCAGTTTTTCATTAAAAATATTAATTTCATTCTATATATTAAAACTATATTTTCAGTGATGAAACTTTATTAGTCTCTGGAACAGAGGATGGGGAAATATTTTTATGGGATATGGAAACTTATAATTTGCAATTTAATGTTAAAGGTAATTTAATGAATTTGAATAATAATAAAATAAAAATAATATAATTTATGAAATTTATTACAAAATTTGATATATTTTTTTAGGACATTCGGGTAAAGTGAATGCATTAACATTTGAACCCGAATCAAATAATATCATTTCTTGTGGTGTGGATAAAGTGCTTAGTGTATTGGATTTTCGAACAAGTACACAAATTTATAGTAAAATTTTAGAAGTTGAGGCATTGTCCTTAACTTGGCTGAATTCGCTTTTATTAATTGGCGATGATTGGGGAGATGTTAGTATTTGGGATCCGAAATTTAATTGGATTTCAAAATTTAATTGCCACAATGGTAATTCAAAAAAAAACAAAATTTATTTACATTTCATATGTTGCAAATTTACAGTTTTTACATACACACACGCAAACACACTTGCTAAATATGTATAAAGCGAAATTTTCTACCTACATTTGATTTTTTTTCTTCTTTTCCTTTTTCGCTCCAAAAAGATTATGAATCGCTATAAAAGTTTAATTATAATTATACTAAAAATCTTTTGAATCATGTACTAAGAAATTTTCCTAAAACAAAATTTGTTTTTTTGATTTCAGGTCCTGTTACATCAATAGTCGTGACAATAGACAATAAAAAAGTGATAACTGGCGGTAAAGACAGAAAAATAATTGTTTGGAATATCGATTGAAGACAACAACTTTCAATAAAACAAGTAAATAAATTTTTATTTTACAAATAGATAATAAGACAAATAAAATGAAATTAAAATTTTATTTAAAATGTGATTAAAACAATTTAATTTTAGGAATTAATTCCTTGAAATTTTTGTTTACAAATTCGATTATGAAACGGATTAAAATTTAATTTTAAACTATTTTTATTAATATACATGCATATTTTTTGAAAAAATTTTTTTTTTTAAATGTACATAGAAACGAAGACTGTTTTAGTATTGATTATGGCTGTATAACATTTTGTTTTTATGAAACTAAGAAATTTCGAATGACTGCAATAAATAACATGATTATTAATAAAGCGTTTATCAATTATGATATTAGATGAAATTGAAAAATATTGTCTTTAAAAATTAGTAATACAATCTTAAAGCTTTGGTGGAAGAACTTGACTAGCAAGAATAATTTTTTTCGCTAGTTTTTTTTTAGTATTTATCTTAAATCCTAGAACCTAGGAATTGAAAATACAATTTCAACTTAACTAAGATGAAAAAAAATTTTAAACGTTGATCAAAAGAAAAAAGATATATCTCGTAAAATGCTTAATTTCATCACATAATTTGTAGAGGTAGAGTTGGATTAATTGTTAATTTTTTTTATTTATTAAAGTTCTTTTTTTATATTATAAATGTAATACTCTAATTGACTTTCTGGTGCGAAAAAAATTGATGGAAGAAATACGCTAATAAAATTTAAGTACATGATAAAAAACAAAGCGAATTTTTTTTTTAAATTTAATTGAAATTAAATTTAAAAAGATATTTATAACAAGCAAATTGTTAAAGAAATTCATTTATGTGTCTCTCGAGTTAGTATTAAAAATATATTTTAATAAGTATTTTCCTTTTTTTTCTATAATACTATTTCTTTTCTATTTTGAACTTTTCTCAACTTTCTTCTTTGTTTTTGGAAAAGTGGGGTACTCGAGATTCGGGAGTCAAAGTTTTTGTTTTGATTTTCTTCATTAGTTTTCTGTTTTCTTAGTATTTAAACTAGGTTTTTTTTTCTTGTGGTTCTTTAGTTTTTCTTTTTAAATTTTATCGTATCTCTTGTAAACTCCTGATTTTCATTTGTGTTCTATCTGCATTATCTCCCTCGAATCGACAAAGGAGTTTAAAAATTTTTCCTACTTATCATTATAGATTCTTGAGTTGCTCAAATGTTATGAAGAAAATTATATTCCATGGTCCCATTCGAAACCATGTCGGTATAAATCCTTTGTAGAGAGCGAAAAATCCTTCATTTTTTATTGTCTAGGAAAAAAATTCTTTTGATCAGAAACAGAAATAAATTTAATTATTTATATAAAAAAAAAATTTTTAATATTAAAAATATTTTTTTGAAAATATTTTTCTTATTAGAAAAAATAAAAATAATAAATATTTTATAACTTACTTGTAATAAACAATCTATACTGCCATTATAAATGTGTGCAGGTAATTTTCCGGAAATTGTTCTAACTCTTCTTTGATGCATCAGTCGAGTCTGAAAAAAAATATAATTCAAATGTTATTTGATTTTTAAACTATAATTTTTAATTGTATTCTAAATACTTACACGAATGACGTCAATTGGTGTTGAAGCGACGGCACTTGCCATACTCGCTGCAAAACTTGACCTGTAAATAGAAAATTTTCTTAAACAATTATATTTATTCAAAACAAAATTTTTTTAAACACTATCTCTTGGGACGATATTAATTTTTCTCGCCAAAAAAGGAAAACTTTTCTCATTTATTACAAAATACCATTTTTTTAAACAATTTTCTCCAAAATTAATTTACCCAACTTGTTCTGTAAAGCGGTTTTCTTTTTTAAATTTCCCTTTCCTTTATTTTATATTAACCTGTTGTTATAAGATGACTGAAAATTATAGTTTTAAAAACACATTGAAAATTAGTCGTTTTTAACAACGGATGATTAAATAAATAAATTATTTTAATTTTTATTTATAATTTATAAGAACTTTTTTTTCTCATTAAAATTTTCCGATTGTCAAACCCTTATCCAAGTGTTGATTGAAAAAAAAAATTAGTTTAAATACTTTTACAATATGCAAAAATTAGAGTAAGAGTACAATTTTATAAAAAAAAATTGTGAGTGCTAACCAAGATTAATTTATTGAAGTAGATGAAGTGATTTATTCATTTCGATGGAATTCTCTGACGCAGGACAGCTTCTTATATATCAAGTCTCTGTCGTCATCACAACTGCGAATACCTGAAAATGAAATTATCTCAAAAGTAAAACATTAAAAATAAAAATGAACTCATGATTCGAGTTTTTTCTCCAAATTGAATTAAGAATGAAATATCCTAATTTCTTTTTTTCTAAAAAAAAAAGAGAAAAAAGAAATATTCAAAATTGCATTTGAAAAGTTAAAAAAAAAATTCATGAAAAATTACAAAAAAATATTTCTAGACCTGGATAAGGGTTACGATAAATTCGAACAGGAAAGTCTCGATTTATTTATAATTCCGTGATTAAATTAATTTGTTATTTTGTTTTCAACAATTTTTATTGCTTACTTTGTACTATAAGCTGACCCCTGTGTTTTTTTTTACTTTAAAAAAGATTTTTTTTTTACTTTTTAAAGCTCAAATCGTTTTCACCTGTGCTTATCAAAAAAAGAGATTTATTAGAAAATATAAAAATGAGAAAGTTTTTATCTTTTTAAAAAAAAACCAAAACTTACACGAAGTGATTGGTCACATTATTTCCTATGATATCAATGAGTTTATTTTTGGTAAAATCGTAAATTGGGAGCTCCACAGCAGCGATAATTGCAGCTCTTTGCGCTGTTGGGCCCACACCCTGTAATTGATAAATTTATATTAATTTTTCTAAACATTTTTTTTCTCACAATAATTAATAATATTTATTATTTATATTTTTTACCCTCCATAGTCCGCGAATGCCTTCATTGTGATAAACATCTTGAAAACATCCAAATAGTGTAGAACTTGTTCTAAGACCAGTTTGCATTCGAACTTTAACTAAATCAGTTGGATTTGCTATTGCACTCGATATTCCACCAGCCAATGCAGCGCAAATAATATTAATTAAAAATAAATCATTATCGCCCCATTGTGCCACTGCAAATTCTTGTAAGGAATAATATGTTCCAAATTTAATTGTTCCGTACGTTGCTTGCCTTAAAATTGCCGAGCTTATTCTTGAAACAAAATAAAATAATCGAATGTTAAACATTGATAGTGTCAAAAGAAAAAGTCGATTTTATCTTATCTTATTAATTATTTTTATCTTAATGAGATTTTAATGTTTTTTTTTTTGCTCTAATCATACCCAGCGTATAATGCTCCAACTCCTTCTTGTCTTGAAATCTGAACGAGAGCATCGGTCATTCCAGAATACTTTAAATATGCATATTTTTTATCGAGTTTTTGTCCCTGTATTTGTAAACGAGTTTTTGTTGTATCTAAAGGAAACGTACCTGAAATGAAAAATTATTCAATAATTTCATTAAATTCTTTTTTTTATTATTATTTTCTTACCCAATTCAGCAATTATGGAAGCCAAACCTCCGTGAATGAAAGGTTTCCAATCTTTAAAATTTCTTTCCATCACAGTCCTGACTTTTGAAAATTAAAATAATTAATGAAAATTGAAACAAAATATTTTATCAACAAATTAATAAATTTTTTAAAAATTTTTATTACCCTACGAGGTTTATTTAATTCTTAAAAAATTTATCGATAGGAAAATTTGTTTAAATGATATTCTTTGGAGGAAAATCAAAATTAAACTGAACTACAACGTAATTGAAAAATTATAGGTATTGCGTTTGTATAATCGAAAGTGGAAAATATTTTCAACTTGTATATTTACGTCACAGTGATAAATTATTTAATCAAACGTTTAAAAGTATAAAAAAAGTTTATTTTTTTCTGATTCAATAAGAACTTTCTTGTTTAGATTAATATATAGAATATAAAAATTTATTATATTTTTGATATATTTAAAAAAATTTGTGTTATTTAAACAACAATACAAATGTATAACTAAAAGTAATCATTTTCATAATAATTAATTGTTAATAAAACAAACCTTGTTAATTTTGATATTTATATAGGTGAGATTGTTTAAAAAATCGTTAATTGTCACAAACTTCCTGTTAAACAATAGCACTAATTGAAAAAACGTGTTTGATAATTGTAAACGTGTTTTTGTCGTCTGCTAGTGTCTCACTCACGTTCTATTCATCTCTGATTCATATAATCATTAAAGTTTAATTGCAAAAAAAAATTAATATAAAAAAGTATTCAACAAGCATTAAAATTATTCTCCACATTGGTCTAATGAGATTGCGCAAGAATAAGGTTAGACGCCATTTATTAAATGCGCATGCGTCAATCGTAAAAAATCTTACCCTTTTCTGATTGGATGATGTTTCCCCGGGAAGTTTGAATTTTATCTCTTATAATTACGATTTTTCTTAGAAAAATATAAATGTATTATATTTATTTAATATTTTTCTTAAGCAAATTTGATTTTTAATTTATTATGTTTGATTAAAATTATTCTGTTTAACAGATAGGGACGCATGATTTGCACCCAAAATCCATTACATTAAATTGTCAAAGCATCGATATTTATTACATTGACTCTCGAATACATGGATTCTTCAAAACGTCGACTGACCAAAACATCGACTTGTAAAATTATCGACTCCTCAAAACATCGAATTTCCAACTGGTCGAATTTCAAAATGATCGATTTTTAACAACGTCGATTCTTCAATGCATACATTTACCATCACATATCCTTATTAAAACATCGAATTGTTAATTCATTGAATTTCCAAAACATGGAATTTTCATAGCTTTGAATTACCAAAGCATCGACTTGTTATAACGTGGATTTGTCAAAAAATGAATTTTTTAATGCATCGATTTACAAAAACACTGATATTATAAAACGTCGACTCGCAAAAGCATCGACTTTTGTTTACATTGATTTTTCAAAGCACCGATTCTCCAAATTATCGACTAACCAAATCATCCATTTGTCAAAATATAGATTTGCTAAAACATTACATTTTCAATACGTCAATTTAGTAAAACAATGATTTTCTAAAACTTCGACTCGCAAAAACGTCGATTTTTCATTACACTAATTTTTCAAAACATCAATAAATCAAAACATCGACTTTCCAATACACCGATTTTTTAAAACGTCGAATAATCATAGCACCTATTTTTTAATACACAAATTTTTTAAAACATTAATTTATTAAAACATTGAATTTTTAATACAGCGATTCTCCAAATTATCGACTAACCAAATCATCCATTTGTCAAAATATAGATTTGCTAAAACATTACATTTGCAATACATCAATTTAGAAAAACACTGATTTTCTAAAACTTTGACTCGCCAAAGCACTGACTTTTTAATACATTACCTCGTCAAAAGAACGAATTTTCAAATCATCGATTTTCTAATGCACTAACCTGCAAAAACATCAAATTTCCAATACCTCGACTTCCGAGTACATCGATTTTTTAAAACATTAACCTGTCATAACATCAACTTTCCAATACATCTACTCGTCAATGCATCGAATTGTCAAAGCATAGAATTTTTAATACATAGATATGAAAAAGCATAGACACTTTTTTGCATTGAATATCCATTACATCGAACTTTTTTTTTCACTAGGGTTTACTCTCTATGTTGTTAGTAGGTAAGGTAGATTAAGATTGTGCGGGAAATTTTAAATTAATATAATATTTAATTATATTTATTAATAAATGTTTTTTATAACATTTAGTTATTAAATATTGTAAATTTAATTGTTTTCTGTTTTTTTGGTAATATAAAATCTCTCAATATTAACAAGAAAATGATATTTTTATTGATTTAATAATATATACAAATTATTGTTTTATATGTTTCTCATAGATGTCTCTACTTTACCAGTTTAATGTACTAAAACTGAAATAAATATATTTAGAATTGTATTCCATTGACAAATTGCCTTTCTTTTTTAAAATTATTCTCTTTTAATAATTTCTCCTTATTTTTTATGAAATATATTTGACATTTAAAAACAAACACACAATATTTAAATAAAAAAATGTTTTTTTTATGAAATTATATTCATAAATTTAAATAAACTATTCAGCTGAAATTATGGACAAAATTTTTTTATCAACCATATATATTTTTTGGTAAACATAAAAAAAATTTAAGTAAACTTAAACTGTTTTTCATATTATTATTTTTTTTTTAATAATTAATATCTTGTTTTACAAGTTTATATTGTATTCAAATCTTGTAAAATAAAATAATTGTCCTCGGCACTTATAATTTCACTCGTAAAAACTACAATTTTTGAAAATATAAAATATTTCAGATGCAACGAAAGGCTACAGTGATTAAGCAGAATAAACAGGTAAAAGATCAGAGGTTCTCTGGTATATTAGAATAGAGTAGGGCGAGATTACCACATTTTACTCCATTGATGCAAATTCCGGTCTCTTCGTTATTTCCAAACTACAGCCATTCTATAAGCTACCCTTTCGTAATTTAATTTCATTTGGTAATAAAAAATGAAACAAACAATATTTGATTTAACAAAAATTTTTAATTACAATATTCTTTATCTTTATTAAATAACTAGCTAAAATATAGCGCGCTAAAGCGCGCGTGTATTTCCTCCGTCGTGGAATAATAAATTAATAATAAGTATATTTCTAATTTTCACATTATCATTTATTTATACACAGGGAAAAATTAGTTTGATGTTATATAAATAGTAATTTTTTAGCTGAGGCAGCTTATAATTAGCTAATACAGCAAAACAATTTAGCTAAGTTAATTTTTAAATTTAATAAACATGTAAAACTATTAGTTCGATTTTTAACGGTAACAACAATGAAAACCCCAAGAAAAAAATCCACCGAAAAAGTGATTATGATAAGAAAAACATACATTGAAACCAACAGTGACAATTGGCGGTGTAAATGTTGATAAATCAATTCTAGTATTGCCAACATAACCGCCGCCAATTGAAATGCCGAGAAAAATTGATTATGCTCTGTCAATTATGATTACAATATTTACTGTTTTGTCATTTATATTGATATAAATATTTTTGATAAAGTCAAACTTCGATAATTTTTTATAATCTTTAAAATTACAAAAAAAATTAGTTTTGCTAAATGTTTTTTTGTAGGGAATGAATGAATGAGTACTGAGATTATTATAGTTAATAATAATAATTAATAAATGAATATATTTTTAGTGTATAATGTTTATGTGAAAAACACCTTTCTAACATCATTTACATTATACGTTTCTCGGCATACTGGACAGCTCCTCAACATTTCGTCGTTGTTGACAACGAAGTCATTGCTGTTATAATTGTACGTCAGCCAGCATGCTTCGCAGAAAGGTATATGCCCGCAAGCTAAAATACAATATATTGGTGTTTCAGTCAAACAAGTACAGCATCTTATTGGTATTCCTGTAACATAAAAAAGGCAAGAATTTTTCTTGAAATATGTCTATGTAGGTAAAAATTAAAATTTTGGTGAAATTTCAGTAATTTTAAAAAATTGAAGAAAATGACAATTTTAGGCATATTGGAAATTTTTCAGAAAAATTCAAGAAAATGAATTTTGAGAAAACATAAATGTAATTAAATTTTTCACTTGAAAATAAATAGTTCAAACTATTTTGTTAAATTTCTTTCAAACTGTTATTATAAATTTGTTTAAACTGTTTATTTTCAAGGTTTTCGTATATCTGAAAATTTTTTAGTCTTTTTGTGCAAATTTATGCGAGTCATGGATCGACGGTTTGGGTAGAAGAAAATGAAAATTTTTTAGATAAACAAAGCCCTTGAAAATGAATAGTTTAATCATAATTATAAATTTATTAAATTAAAATGTACTTGTATTTTACATTTTCTAAAACATTGATCGAGTAATATGTCATAATTAGTTTTGAGCCGAATTTTTATTTTTTCGAATTAGTATTTTGCAGAATTTTCATCAAACCGATTATCTGTATTACAGAATTTTTATATAACCAAAAAATCACTTCATAAAATTTTTATTTGTCAGAATTTTTATTTCCTCGAATTTTCATTAAACATAATAGGCATTTTAAAGAATTTTTATTGGGTAGAATTTCATTGCATAGAATTTTCTTTCAGATGAATTTTCATTTGTTCGAATTATTATTTGATATAATTTCCATATAACCGATTTTTCATACTACAAAATTTTTACTTAACCGAAAAATCATTTAATAGAATTTCTAATTGATAGGATTTTCATTTGTCCGTATTTGCAAATGTCAGAACAAACAATCGACAGAAAGATTTAGGCGCGATTTTTAAAATCAACCAATCCAAAATTATCCATAAAATTGTGATTCGTTGATTTTAAAAATCGCGCCTAAATCTTTCTGTCGATTGTTTGTTCTGACATTTGCAAATACGGACAAATGAAAATCCTATCAATTAAAAATTCTATTAAATGATTTTTCGGTTAAGTAAAAATTTTGTAGTATGAAAAATCGGTTATATGGAAATTATATCAAATAATAATTCGAACAAATGAAAATTCATCTGAAAGAAAATTTTATGCAATGAAATTCTACCCAATAAAAATTCTTTAAAATGCCTATTATGTTTAATGAAAATTCGAGGAAATAAAAATTCTGACAAATAAAAATTTTATGAAGTGATTTTTTGGTTATATAAAAATTCTGTAATACAGATAATCGGTTTGATGAAAATTCTGCAAAATACTAATTCGAAAAAATAAAAATTCGGCTCAAAACTAATTATGGCAAATGAAATTCGATAAAATGAAAATTCTGACTAATGATTTTTAGAACATAATCATGCGTCCCTTAATAAATATGAAATTATATTATATATTTTACCCTGCAATGTGACCAGCTGCTGTTCTTGTTGCTGTTCATGTTGTTCTGCAGGTTGTGCTGGATTTTCAATCCGTTGATCTTCCTCAGCTTGTAATATTTGTTCTCCAAGATGGTTGTTGACAATTTGATTATCAATATTAAACATTTCAACAATTAAGCCTATAAAAAAAGACAAAGAAAAATTTTAATTTGTTCGAATTTTTATTTGTACGAATTCGTAAATTATATAATTTTTAAAATGCCGAATTTTCATTTATCTGAAATTATAAATATATATTTGTAATTTTTGATAAATGAAAATTCTGTGTTTTACGAATTCTATTAAATAATATTTAAACATTAAATAACTTTCTAAATCTGAATTAATGAAAAGTGAGCTACTAATTTAAAATAGTAAGAATTTTCACTAATTTTTAGTAACTTTTGAATCAAATAGTAATATTTTACTAAAAATTAGTAAAAATTCTTACTAATGTGATTTAGTAGCTTACTTTTCACTAATTCAAATTTAGAGAGCAAGTTTGCAACGAAAACTTGTTGAGTAATGATTTATGAAGTTTCAACAACAATTTTCTGACAAATTGCGCGGAAAATTTTCAAAAATTTTAAGGAACTATTTTTAGGAAAATCAAATTCAATTTTTTTTTTAAAGAAAGAAGAAATGTATTTGAAAGAAGGGCATATTAACGTAACGTATTTAGCACCGTCTATCAAATATTATGCGAGAAAACATGCAGAGAATCTTTACAGTGAAATCACAACAATCAATGTATTTGTATTTTATATTTTTACCCTGATGTTCTTCCATATCGGATTCATCTTCTATAACGATAACGTCATTGTTGTTTATGAATAAAGCATTCACAATTTCCCTGTTATTAATGGGAGATGGTGGGCCTATAAATAAATGCAAATAAAATAGTATAAATGCTATAGTTTTACGTATTTTGTAATATAATATTCGTTACAGAAAAAGATAAATTAGAAAAAGTAGAATTATATTAGTTTATAGAATTAGATTTCTATTCTATAATAGATGCCTTATAAATATAAGAATTGACTGTAACAGTTTATGTGAAAAGAAAATTGAGAGCAATAAAAATTGTTTTTAACCTTTTAATATACCGAAGTAGCACGGAATATTGCTTAAATGTCACGGTGATATCAAGCGGGAATATTCCTGTGACATTACAGTGATATTGAGAGAATATCCCTGTGGAATTATGGGAATATTTCTGTGATATTTATGGGGTAATTTATAAAATTCTAAAATTTGTTTGCTTTGAATATTTAAATAAAAAAAATTTGTTTTTTAAAATTTTATAAATTACACCATTAATATCACAGGAATATTTCCACAATATCACACGGATATCCCCTTAATATCACATGAATGTCACGGGAATATTTCCTCAGTATCATACGAATGTTACTCGAATGTCACAGGGTCACAGGAACATCACCGTGGAATTCCCCCGTGAAGCGGACATTATGATATATATATATATAGCTTCTTAATAACATTATCTACAGAATAGAGTTATAAACAGTTATCTAGAGTTATAAACAACTTAGTGTCTATTTTTTAAGTTCAAAAAAGTTCACCATTTTTGCAAAAATCGATAAAAAAAAATCCCCTACGTCTGTTTCTGTGAATCTGACATTTAATAAAATAAATAAAATTTAAAAATAAATAACAGTTTAACCCCTTAAAACAATGTTCTAAAGAGTTACAAATTTTAAATTAATGGTTAATTGTGTAATATATGGGCAAATCCACAGAACCGTTTGATTTTGGCTTATAAAGATAAAAATTTTCAAATCGTAAGCACACTTTTTATTCATGGACTATTTTATTTAAAATTTTCTTATTTCGTGATTCATTTTATTTGAATGCCGTAGGAGTTACAAGCCAAAAACGAAAATATAATTTTTTCCAGATAATCATAATAAAAAATGAGTTGTGTTTCTTCTTTTGTTTTTATTTTTGTATATATATATATATATGAGGCATTCTTTGTCAACGCGGACACCCCTCTCGCCCAAATTCTTTTCATTTTAAATTCATGTTTAATGGCTTAAATTTTATTTAAAGAATATACTTTTGAAATCTGAGTGGCATATATCCAAAAACAAAATATAGGATCCAATATAAAGGTTATTCTTTAAATTTACCAATAAAAAGTTACTCTAATTCATTTTGAACAATCCAAAAAGTAATGTTTGAGGCCTTTTTAGCCCTTTGTATTTGGAAATATGCCACTCAGATTTCAAAAGTATATTCCTTTAACTAAAATTTAAGCCATTAAACATGAATTTAAAATGAAAAGAATTTGGGCGAGAGGGGGGTGTCCGCGTTGAAAAAGAATGCCTCATATATATAATTGTATTTGCACGAAATATTTTAAACAATAAAACATGGAAAATTATAATGATTTATTTTAAATAATTTAATAAATTATAATTTAATTTTGTTATTTTTTTATTACTGTACGTTAAATTATTTGAACCGCTAAACTGACATTATTGACACTGATTTTGACACAAGTTTTCAAATAAAACAAATGAAAGGTTATTCCATTTTTCATATTTATTAATACGTTTATGATTAACCGCTAGAATTTCTAATAAAAAATGTTATATTTTTAATTTTTAAATATTATAAAGTGGAAATAGAATTTGGCGTTTGCATAAAAGAATTATAATACCGTTTTTTAACGATCACACACGTTTTCAACTCATTATATTTCATCCTGTAGATGTGCTACAAAAAAAGGCTAAGTTAAGAGTAGTTCACGGCCATACACAGGATAACAATTATTGGAATATTTTCTTTATTTTTAATGGCACATTATTTTATAAATACATTTGTTCGTCTGCTCAAACGCAATATGCACCAATTTGAAAAATCCCGATTGAATAATTGCCGTAAAAAATATAATACACAATTTATAGAGATTTCATTATTATAAAATAATGAGTAACGCTAATTTAAACAACTGCCATTTCTTTTAAATTAAGAGCACATATTTTTTCAGCCTTCAATACATTTTGCGATAACTAAATTACAATTCACCAAAATTTGGGATTGTTTCGTTATTTGCCAAACAAGTTATACCTAAAAGAATTAAAACATGTACCTAAAGTAACACTGCAAATTTCATTTTTTAAGTTAATTAACTCTATTTTATTGTTCATAGAATGCGGGTTGGTTAAGATTTATCCAATTTTCTTAGTTCGATAGGTTCTCAGAGATATTATAAAATGATATAAATATGATAATAATTATTAGGATACTTTTAAAATAGGAAAATTTGAGAGTAACATGAAATCAAACGGTTCTGTGGATTTGCCCATATATTTAATCCTGCTTACCGTTGTTTATGGCATCCATTTCTTCTCGATGGTTTCTTTCATCACTTATATTGCGAATATCGTCTTCAATTTCGTTATTTTGGGGGTCTTCAATTTCGTTATTTTGGGGGTCTTCAATTTCGTTATTTTGGGGATCTTCAATTTCGTTATTTTGGGGGTCTTCAATTTCGTTATTTTGGGGGTCTTCAATTTCATTAAGGACATTTCCATTCTCTTCACTTGGAATAGGTTGGTCTGCAAAGAAATGTTAAAAACAAAAACTATTTTTAAACGAACATAGTTTTTTTTATATAAAGAAATTAATTCATCAAAAGTATTTCATACCTTCAATATCTTCATTTCTCTCTACATCTAGGTCCAAGATTTGAATTGATGTTCGAAAATGTTGAATACTTGGCCTAGATGAAATGTATGAAGCTATTTGTAGAAATTCTTCGGTTTTAAAGTTAGGTGAACCAACCGTCTTCCACAATCTTTTGACGTCAGTAAAAAATGTTCTGTCACTGAGCTTAGGAACTTGTATATTTCTTTTTTGTTTTGTTATATCATCAAGAGTCTTTTTATCAAGTGATATTCTACTTCCCAATGCCGATAACTTTTCTGCAACATAGAATGTACGCTAAAAAATTTATGGACAGTGACGTATAGCAAAAGTACAATATTTATAAAATAAGGAAATCTATTTAATAGATTACTTATAACGTTTAACAAGTTCAAATGGATCTTCAATCTAAAAAAGACAAATTTTTATTTTCATTTTGATTACTTCAGATTTTTTTTAAGTTCAGTTATTTTAAATAGTTGCATTGTTCAAATAAACTGTTCAGAACAATTTTTTGATAACACTGGGTCAAAAAAATGATTTTTTTTCTGATTTAAACATCGACATAGGCTTCTCGCATAGATTTTTTGTTGCTGTAATATGAATCTGGCCTTAAAGTTACCCAACACATTGAAATTTTGAGAAAATCATGTTTAAAAATTTTTAAAAAACTTTGCTTAGCTATTTCGTGGGCACTCGAATATAAAAACTGTTCTCAATTTTTGGTAGGATAGGACAACGATTTTTTTGACTTTGTGCAAAAAATAAGTGTTATTTGGCACCTTAAAATTATTGGAAAAATAAGTCTATCCAATTTTAGATTCGGTTTATACTAAAAAAAATGCTATGAAATTCGGCTGTAAAATGTTAGTCAACATGAAGACCTTTTTTAATCTGTAACTAGAAAAATGCTTCTTTGAATCAAAAAAGGGCCAACAAAATGTTTTCTTCAATTTAAAGAAAATTTATTCGATTTAAAGAAACATTCTCTATTTTAAATAAAACTTTGTTTGAAAAGTATTTCTTTAAATTAAAAACATTTTTTATACATATTAAATTTTCATTTAATTACAAAAAACTTTTCTTAAACTTTATATAAAAAAACGTTTTTCTGGGTGTATAATTTTTAATTTTCACTATTCTAACCTTAATAATTTGCATCTGAAATTTTGTATAATAATTCTAATTTCAAAACAGAGACAAAAAAACAATTTTGTATCAATTTTAAGCTTAATTTATAACGCTGATCGAGTTTTCTATGCTTTTACAAAAAAATATTTAAATGTAGGTAATACATATTTTGAATTTGTAATTCATAATTTTATAATTTTGGTGGTAAAATATTTATCAAGAATCTCAAACATAAAAATTACTTACCACTGAATGTCCACACTTGTGGGAAGTCGCCAATTTTATTTTGTAATAAACAGACATAATTAGTAACTGCCTGTGAAACACAAATGGTTTGATTAAAAACTGACATATTCCTTGGTGTTACAGTTTCAAGCCATGTGGTTTCAAACTCTGTCAGTATAGATTGAACTTCCTCACTCAAATTTTCGTTCCCCGTTAATTCTTTAATTTTTAAATATCCTTGTCTAATTCTTGTTGGAGGAAGAAAAACCAAAGACAGCAAAGATAATATTAATTTTCTTATTTTATTTTCCCTTGTTTCCTCATTCGTATCCTCCATTTCTTCCTCCGTTCCGTCTTCATTAACTTTTATAATATAATTTATAACGCAATTGTTCTTCTCTATTAATTTGTAGACATTCTAAAATTTTACAAAAAAAATATTTTTATTTATAAATACAAAAAAAATACTAATAAATTAATCGAATTTTAGTTTTACAGAATACTCATTCAATCGAGTTTTATGTGATTTGAATTTTTAAATAGCAGAAATTTCAATTAAACGAATTTTAATTAGCAAGAATTTTTAAGATGACGAATTTTCATTTATCCTAAATTACATATGGCCAAACAAACAATCGGTAGAAAGATTTCTGAACAATTTTTAAAATTGATCAATTAGAAATTCTAAAGAAAATCGTAATTGTCAATTTAAAAAATTGGGTTGACATATTTTTGTTGATTGTTTGTTCGGTCATTTGTAATTTCCAACAAATGAAAATTCGGCGTTTTAAAAATTCTATCAATTACAAATTCGAACAAATTAAAATTGAAATTTGGTGAATTGGAATTTCTATTATTTAAAAATTAAAATCACATAACATTCAATTGAGTGAGAATTCTGTTAAATTAAAATTCTTTTAACCATTTTTTGACTTTCATATACTTTTTTGATACTAACATATTTCAGCAACGTGTTTTACAAAATTCATAATTTAAAATTTTTTTGATATAAATCAATGGTGATTTTTTTGATATTTAAATAAATGTACTTTCTACTTCCTAGGGCAAGGTTTGTAATGAAATATATAGAAGCCCAATGTACATTTCATATAAGTTTAATTACAATCCCTACTCTAGATTTTTAATTTATTACTATTTTT